TATTTTGAATTGGAACTGGAATACCCAGTTCAATCACTAGGGCCCGGTTTTTCAAAAGGTTTAATCCGGATAAAATTGATCCAGATTTAGTAATCCTGTTTTTGCGATCCGTGATCACGTAATCCAGCTTACTTTTTGAGCCAGTTTTTCAAAGCAACATTGGATTGGATCAATCTGATCCGCATAGTAACTTTTCAGGATCACTAAATCTGGATTACCAGTGCTCATTCACAATGTAGATGGATAGATAGGCCTATGTTAAAAGCAACAACTAGAATAGCCAGTGTGGGGTAAATATAACTTTATTTTTATTTAAAATGAAAACTAATAAAATTTTATAAATGATAAAATAATTATAATAATAATTTATAAAAGCAAAAAAAAAAAAAAACCACCCCATCCTCTTCCAGCAGTCCGCTCATCTGAGATCTACAACACTGTACATTGAGGATATTTATAATAAGTTTCAAATATAGATGTATTGAATAAAAAAAAGACAATGTTGAAACTTCCACAATAATGTCAGACTTCCTCATCTGATGTGGAGGGAGCAGCTTGTCTGAGCGTATTAGGAGGTAGATCTCATGTGTGGTCTTGGTTTGCTGCAGTTTGGTCAGAGTCAGTTGTTCCTTTGCCAGATGAAACTGAACTTCTGCCCAGTCTCTTTTTGCAATTGTTAAAGGTGATTTCAAAAATCAGGCATTGCCATTCTTTGCATTTTTTTTTGTTATTCTGTTATCATTGCATGCATCACTAATAAATATTCTAAGCACAAAAATATTTTCCATTGTGATGAATATATATATATATATATATATATATATATATCAATTAGTAACAGAATAATATGTATTGTTTTTGGTAAATTTTGACAGCTGTTTGGGGGATTATTTTATGAGGCCAAACTCTTTCTATTTTGCTGTAGGCCTATACTGAAAGGCTAAATACATTAAAGCCAATAATTACTATAGCCTGACAGATGAACAAATAAAATTAAAACCTTATGAATAAATAGTATATCTCGTAAGATACTGCATGATCCAAATATAGTTTTATTTAATAAATTTTTAAAGTTTTCATTACATTTTGGGCATGAAATCCACTCTAAATACACTCTTCTGATGGGATCAGTTTAATCCAGGATTTTTGGATCAAAGTGATCCAAATCCTACAAAAAAGGTCTGAAAAACCCAAACTAAAGGTTTGATCCGGATCAAAACCAAGATTGGATTACATGATCTAATCCGATTATGTAATCCGTTTTTTCTTTTGAAAAACCCATTTTCAAGATTTGATCCAATCCCTTATCCAAAATTCTAGTGGATTACTTTTGAAAAACTGGGCCTAGGTGTCAATCCTTCATACTTTTAGATTGACTGGCATGCTAGGTTGAAAACATCCTTAAAGACAGATCACTCAAAAATTGAAATGTTGTTATCATTTACTCATTTCAAACCAGAAGTATGTTGGAAACCTATAACCACTGACTTCCATAATAAAGAAAAAAGTAAATAGTAAACCATTTCCAACATTCTTCAAAATATCTTTTGTGTGTGTCTAACAAAATCTGTCTGGTTTGGAACAAGTGAAGAGTAAATAAAGGATGACAATTTTGATTTCCGAGTGAACGATCCCTTTAATCCAGCAGAAGTAAATGGTGCACACGTGCAGAGGCTCAGTGCTTTGTGTGTTGTGTCAACAGCCACTGGTTGTGATTGTAGTAGAGACTCACACATGCAGACGGGAAGCTTTGGGTCTGTGAAATATTCTCCCAATGTTTATATAACCTCCACATGGACTCCTGTCCACCACCAGCAAACAGGGTGTTGACTATAGTGTGTGTGAAATATACAGTATTCATTCACTCATTTTTCTTTGGCTTAGTTCCTTATTTATCAGGGATCGCAATTCCTTATGCAATTCCTTAACTATACACACAGCAGGTATAATACAGAAACATTACTATATAATTTTTTTTTTTTTAATTTGTACATTTTTAATAATGTCATTAAGTTCCTGGTGTTGAGTTGCAGCTAGGCAATGTGGTGGTGCAGGGTAGCACGTTTGCCTCACAGCAAGAAGGTTGCTGGTTTGAGCCTCGGCTGGGTCAGTTGGTGTTTCTGTGTGCAGTTTGCACGTTCTCCCCGTGTTGGCATAGGTTTCCTCTGGGTGCTCTGGTTTCCCCCACAAGTCCAAAGACAAGTGGTACAGGTGAATTGGGTATGCTAAAGTTGACCGTAGTATATAAGTGTGTGTGAATGAGTGTGTATGGGAGTTTCCCAGAGATGGATTAAGGCTGGAAGGCATCCGCTGCGTAAAACATATGCTGGATAATTTGGCGGTTCATTCTGCTGTGGCGATCCCTGTTTAATAAAGGGACTAAGTCAAAAAGAAAACAATTGAATAATGTTTGTAATGTTAATAATAATGTTATTACGAGTTAACATCTCACTGACTTTAAATATTTTTTTCTAGAATAGAAATTCATAAGTTGTGCTTTTTTAGAGTTACGTATAGTCAAATAAGCTTAACTGTAACTAAAATATTTCTTAAAAAATCTAACTTAATAATGAGTTTGACTGTGAGACGCCAATTTGCATCTGTGAGTTCAATTTGCATCAAAATTCTGAGATATAAACTCACATTTCCAAGAAAAAGAAAAAAGTTAAATAAACAAATACAAAATTGACAATTCAAAAAACTAGTTGGATTTTTGGAAAATGTGTCATCCAAGATGCTGATTTCTTTCTTTATTCGTATCTTGGACGCGATAAATGGAGCTAAATTTGTCCAGAAAACGGGTTTACTTTTGTCTTCTAGGTTTAAATCATGTTTGTGCCCTTGAGTTTTTCCGTTTGAGTTTTAGTAAACTACTGCCCTCTGTTGTAAGAATACCATAACTACAGTGCTAATTAACCTATCTTCTATCTTGAACCGATTTTGAAGGGATAGTTCACCCCAAAATTTTTATTTAGTCACAACTTTCTCACCCTCAGTTGGCTTCAAACTTTTATGAGTTTCTGTTTTCTGTTGAACAAAGTAATTTTTAAAAAAATGTTGGAAACTTGTAACCATTGATTTCCATAGCAGGAATAACAAATACTAAGGAAGTCTGTAGGTTTTCATCGGTCTTTTTTCTGTTTAAAAAAAGGCTGAAACACAAACAGGTTTGTGACAAGTGGAGGATGAGTAAATGACGACAGAATCCTCATCAGTTCTGGGTGAATTATCCCTTTTAGCATTTAGATAATATCCAATACATTAATGGATTTGGAACAATTTAGTTCTTTAGTAATTTAAAAAAAGGAAGAAATTCATGAGGATTCCAGATTTTGTTAGTTGCCCTCAGTTTGTGTAGAATCGAAATATCAACCATGAATGTATTACAGAAAAAAAGCGTTGACTTTAATAAACACTAAAATAAAATGCTTAACTAATCAGTTTTGACCCGTATGTATTATATCTTATAGATTAAAGACCTATCTGTTTAGTAAAGCATACATTCAATGCATCACCTAGCGGGTTCCACACAGGCTTCTGCATCTTGCTTATATACACTATGAACAGCAGCTACGCTAATTATTCTCTTTATTCTCTATTTTCACCTGGGGATACTCATCCCGAGGTCCTCAGATTATGCAGAGTCACTGATTGGATCCAAGACCAGCGACGAGATGATCCCAAGGTTTTCATATCCGGGACCAGGCCATATCCTGAGCTGCTGCTGCGCTGATGGTCATGGGGAGTGGAGAACATGAGTCTGATTCCAGCGACGCTCCAGGGACAGACGAGTCTTCGCTGAGGCCAGCTTCCAGCCTCCACCACGGTGACTGAAGCTCTGTACAAGACTTTTGGCCAGCGGAGAAATTAAAATGGTCGTGCACAACTGAGTCTGGTTCTCTCAAGGTTTTTTTTCTTCACTACTATCAGGTGAAGTTTTTTTTCCTCTCTCCGTTGTCGCCACTGGCTCGCATGGTTCAGGATTGGTAGAGCTACACATCGATGAATTTGCTCTTCAGTGTTTGAACTCTCAGTAATGATTAAATCACACTGAACTGAGCTGAACTGAACTGAACTTAAACTCTAAAAACTGAACTACACTCTTCCAGTTACTATGACCATTTATGTGAAGCTGCTTTGACACAATCTACATTGTAAACGCACTCTACAAATAAAGCTGAATTGAATATCTAATGAATAAGAACTAGTATCTTTTAAAGGGTATAGTATTTAAAGAATTAGTTGGTAATGAATCAGAAATTGTAATTAACAAAACACTAGTATGTGGAGAAAAAAAAAAAAAACGACTAACATGACAACTGATACAGTTATAGAATAAACAGCCAAAGAAGAAAGATTTTGTGGCACAGTGGCTCAGTGATTACACTGTCACCACACAGCAAGAAGGCCGCTGGTTTGAGTCCCAGCTCGGCCAGTTGGCATTTCTGTGTGGAGTTTGCATGTTCTCCCTGTGTTCACGTGAGTTTCCTCCAGGTGCTCCGGTTTCCACCACAAGTCCAAAGACAAGCGCTATATAGGTAAATTGAATAAACTAAATTGGCCGTAGTAGTGTATGAGTGTGTATGGATGTTTCCCAGTATTGGGTTGCAGCTGGAAGGGCATCCGGTGTCAAATTTATGCTGTATAAGTTGGTGGTTTAAATCATGTTTGTGCCCTTGAGTTTTTTCCGTTTGAGTTTTAGTAAACTACTGCCCTCTGTTGTAAGAATACCATAACTACAGTGCTAATTAACCTATCTTCTATCTTGAACCGATTTTGATGGGAAAGTTCACAACAAAATTTTTATTTAGACACAACTTTCTCACCCTCAATTGGCTTCAAACTTTTATGCATGTAAATTGGCCGTAGTAGTGTATGAGTGTGTATGGATGTTTCCCAGTACTGGGTTGCAGCTGGAAGGGCATCCGGTGTCAAATTTATGCTGGATAAGTTGGTGGTTCACTCCACTGTGGCGACCCCTGATGAATAAGGGACTAAGCTTAAGGAAATTAAAGTGTTTGTGACACTTCAGTCAGCATTTAATTATTTTTTGACAATGTAAACAGTCTTCTAAAAATTCAGACTTGCCATGCACTGAAATATGTGATAAAACATTGAACAAACAACAAATATGATTAATAACATTCGCTTCACCCATCATAAATGCAGATATTACATGAGCAAATATAGTGCAAAATGATGTAGAATAAAAAAGTATAATCATTTTGGTCACTTCAGGTTTTTGTGTTTACATAGATTTAAAAGACTGCTAACACAAGATAAGTTACTTTGAAAAATGTTAGAAACCTGTAACTATTGACCTCCATAGAATTCGTTTTCCTACTAGGAAGTCAATGGGAACCAATTTCTAACACTGGTCACTCTTTTAACAGCAAGGTTGAATGTTAGTTGATGTATTTACTGACATGAACAAACAAGGAATTATACATTTATTACAGTATGTATTCATATTTGTTAACTTTAATTAATGAAAATAAAGAGGTTGGTTTTAGTTAACTCACTGCTAGTGTTAACAAGCATGAATTTGGATTATAATAATTTATTATATTCATAATTACAGTACAAGAATAGTTCATTATTTGTTCATGTTAGTAATACATTAACTAATGAAACCTTATTAATAAGTGTGACCCTAACATTCTTCAAAATATCTTCTTTTGTGTTCAACTAAGAAAAAAAGAAGCCCATAAAGTTTAAGAATCACCTGAGGGTGAGTAAACAAGTACATTTTGCTTTTTAAGCGAACTTTAACTCCAGGGTCCAGGGTAGCTGGCGGATAGTTAAATATCCCGTGAAATTACAATAACATTTTTTAAATGTTGGTAAAAAGATTTTGTAAGTTTTAAGGATATCTATAATCTCAAGTGCTCCAAAACAGTGTCTAAATTCACATTTAGAAGATATAAAACTGACATAAACATCACTTCCATCTAAAATAATCCACAGTTTTCTTTTTCACATCACATCATACTTCAGTTTCTCATCAAATCTTGACCAATCAAATGCTTTCTAGTATCTGAAATGCCCTGCCGTTCTCATTCGCTTTTGATTTGATGCTCATGAGCTCTTACTATTGGCTGTTTGCTTTTAAAGAGGAGGAGCTACTCTATGTCCCGCCCTCTCATTAAGTTTCAGTTGAGATTGTCAAACATCCCAAAAATTTTTTTTCAAATTACTTCACGGGAACTTTGAATAAAAATAATCATAAAAATAAAAGGAAACGTCCACAGTATAGACTAACAATACGGTCAGTCTTTTCATTAGACTTTCCGCTGTTTCACCATTGATATAATCATCTCACACATACGTCATCTCAGGTTTCCTGCTTTTCCTGTGGGATTCACTCTTTGAGAAGATGGACAGCATGAATTTTGCGCACTCGTTTGGTTTGAAAGTGGTCGGCACGATGAGATACTCTCCCGGCTCCAGCTTGAAGAATTTCATCACATGTCTCGCGTTGACGAAGGCTTCACTTTCTGCCACAGTACGTCTACGAGAGAAGAAGCTTGCTGGAAACCTCTCATCTTTCATCTGTAGGAGAAAGAATAGCATCTATATTCAAAAAACAAGTGGCCTTAACTACTATGTATTCACGTCAAATTATAAATATGCTCTTAATGTGTTCATTATGTATTGCAGAACACATGTGGCGGTATTAAAGTGGGAAACAGGTAGGATTAGGAACAAATTTGATGGTTTCAGGGTAGGTTAAAGGATAAAAGATGGTCAAATGTGTAATTATAAATGTAATTACAGAACTGAATTACAGATGTGATAACATGTAGGTAATTAATCTAGCATTAGTACAATGTAAAAACATTTATTACAAAATAAGTACATTGTAACAAATTATTAATTTCAGTGTAAGTACATATTATTAAGGCCACAAAATAAAGTGGGACCCAATAAAATAATGGATTAACACTTTTGAATTTGAATGATATTTTACTTACCTCTGGTGGTATCTGTTAAAAGAGAAAAGGTATAAAAATATAATACGTCATAAATAAGTGGAAACCAAAATGATGGTATTCTGTGACTCTAATTGGGTTTTTTGGTAATACTGACCGCAAAAACACAGAAGCCGATGGAGCAGTTTTTAACACGACTTCTGTATCGGTCTTCATGGATCTGCAAGAGGGACACCAGTACATTTTCGGGGCACTGGGAACTAGAACATTCCTCATCAAGCTTCTCAATCGTCACTCGAAACTGAGGGTTTGTCCAGAAAGACTCTGAAAGATGTATGTTTAATCAGACTTTTGTTGCATATGTTCAACACACACAAATGACTGTATATAGGTCAAAATGAGATCTCTACTTTTGGTCACATTAAATGCATGTAAACATAAGTGGAAAAAATGTATAACTTCAAAGGCTGATATATTGTATTGTGCATTCATGAGTACAACAATTAAAAACTTTTTTTTTTTTTAAATAATAGTGTATTTTAAATATGTGAAAATACAATAACAGCATTATTTTGAGCTGTACTTAATATATCGCAGAATGAGTTATTAGATTGTGTTTATCACAACATCTTGCGTAGTAAGTTTAAAGAGGCGCTATTTAGCATTTTTAAATGTCATATTTTAGTTTTGGGGTCTTTAACAACAGTCTGATAAGCATGCAAGGTCAAAAAACACTTTCATTGTTGTAAGAAATGAGTCTGCCTCGACCCAACTTCCACTCTAAATGGTGAATTGATGCTCATTTCCCAAAAGGCTGACTTATGAGAGAAAAGAGAAGTCAACAAGGTCTTGTCTCTGCATTGTTTGAGGTGACTACATCTCAAACAAATGGTAACAATTGTAGAATGGGGATGGGTGTGGTGCACAAAGAACCATCTCATCAATGGTGTTGAAACTGCATTAACATGGAGAGATAGGGAGAACAGCTGGGTCAACAGCCAAGGAGCAACTTCATTAACATCTAAAGGCAACATCAAAAACAGTATAAAGGTTTGAGTTTAAGAATGTTCAGGGTTCATTCTGACTCCGGTGAACCCAAGGTACAGCCTTGTATTTTGAGACTGCTATGCTGAATAAACATCTTCATTGAGATTTTCTTCGTCATCATCATTTTTTCTTACACTGGCGAGTCATCCAGCGAGGACTTCCAAAACAACAAAGGAGAGAAAGGTAAGAAAAGCAGGTTTTCTTATTAAATGTTTGTTGTTAGGAATCCCCCTCGTTTAAAAAAATCTAGAAAAGAAAATTTAAGACAGAAGAGAATTTGTATTGTTCAGTTTTAGCAGAAGGAGTTCTTAAGTCTATTCTGTACTATTCTGCCAATTTTGTTTAAGATTCTAACTAAACTGAATTAACCCGACGTAGTGTGGTAGCAGAATTGTATTAAATTGTTGTTTCTAAAGTAATTGAAGCAAAGGGCTGAAGTTTAGGTTTCTAAAGTGAATGAAACTGTGCTGAACTGTGTTGATTCTAGTGGCAGAGTTGTATTGGAAATGTTGTTTCTAAAGTAATTTCTAAAAATATGTTTCTAGCATAAGTGAAACTGGTTTATAAAGTTTTCATGATTCTTTATAAATTCTAAAGTAACTGAATTGATTTGATGCAGTGTGGTCACAGAAAATATATTTGGTAGGGTGTCTGGAACTGTTAAAGATCATTTTCTTGAGGTTTTGCCTGATGTAATGTAGCAGTGTTTTGATTTTTAAATTACAACACAAAGGACTGATGCAGATTGGTTTTATCTGATAACATACAGATAAACATTGTTTTGAGAGTAGAATTTGAGGCCTGATGGAGAGTGTCTATGTTCAATAGACACTGAAGTACAGACATTTTAATGGTCTTGTTTTTTTTTTTGTTTTTTTTTTTTGTTATTATTCATTTGCACAGGAGCAGTGAATAATTGTATCAAGTATTAAATAACTTGGTAATGTTCAGTCAGTAAAGAACTAAAATCTATTGAATTACTCAAGTGAACTTAATAAGATTGTGAAAATGGAAGATATGATGGTTAAATACATTGCTAAGCATGGCACAGTTGGAATTTTTGATGGTATAGAGAAAGTCGTAGATAAGCCATATGAATGGGCTATCTCTAAATTTGAAAATTTTTCCAAAATGCCAAAGAAAAATAAAGGAAAAATTGCCAATGCACTTCAAGCTGTTCTTGCATCATACAAGGTAACTAGAAAGAGAGTAGTGGAGTTAGAAGCTGAAAATGAAAGACTCAGTGTTGAGATAAATGCTTCAAAATATTTCCAGGCTAGTGAAGCATTATGGAAGGAAGAGAAGATCAGAATGCAGGATGAGATAACACGTCTGAAAACTCATAAAGACTTGTTGGCATCATCTGTAGAAACATTCTACATTAATTTGAAAGAAGCAAGGGCTACTTGTAACTTCTTCATAAGGAATGGCCTAACAGAGAATAACACAAGTGAGACATTAAACGCAAATAGAGTTCCAAAAATGACAGACATTCAGGAAGATGATAAGGAATGGGCTAGAGATTCTCAGTCAGTCAGTAGTCAATGCTCAGAGTGTACAGTTAGATTTCCTATGGCACCAGTTCACTCTAATACCACCATGCATATTACTGAAGCAGGGGTTGAATCAACGACCCATAACACGGTTAGAGGGTTTAACCCAAATGAACTAGAAGCTGTGATTGCAAATATTGGAAAATTTGATCCTACTGAACAAGATCCTTTAGATTTCCTAAAGAGGTTAGAGGAATATGCAGAGGTGTACAAATATACAGATGGTGATGCATGTGTGTTGCTAAGAATGTGCCTGCCTGAAACTTTGTCTGGAGCTTTAGGTTAGAAAGTAAAAGACAAAACGGCAAACAAGTCAGAGAGGAAACAGGCACTGCTTGAAGTCTTGGGTGTGATGTCTGTTAACTGGGATAAAATATCTGAGACACACATGAAGAGAGGGGAACACCCAAGAGTATTTTCTGAACGATTGTTGGAGATGTTTAAAACATTTAGTGGCAATCCTGATATTACTTATGATGACGTCAGTTTCAAGTCTGCCTTGATCAACAAGTGTGACCCACACACCCATTCTGCTGTGACAATGCTTGTGACACCACTCTCTGATTATAATGAAATTATTGGTAAAATGACACAGTTTTATAACAATAATGCAAATTCACAGAGGCAAATGAAAGATGCGAGATATCCTGTTGCTGCCTTTGCAAGCAGAGAATATTCAAGCTCATCCAATGGTTTCCATCACAGAGCAAGGAAATTTACAAGTGTGAACTCAATGGGTGTTGTTCTTTGTTATGCATGTGGAAAAGCTGGTCACATTGCGAGACATTGCCAGAAGAGTGCAAAATCTCAAAGCATTGCTTGTCATGCATGTGGAAAAAATGGTCACATAGCAAGACATTGTTTAGAGAAAATGAGGAAAGACCAGGAAGTTGTTTGTTTCAGATGTGGAATTATGGGACACAAGGCAATACAGTGTCATGTTTCAGTCAAAAGAAAGACAAGTTATAAAGATTTACATAAGAAAATAGCCAGACTAGAAAACCAGCTGGAAGAGTTAAAAGGAATGAAGGAAGGACCCATTCACACCTTTTCAGACACATCCCTGCATGAAAATGACTGTAACTCAGTCTCAAGCAGCTGCTGATGTGAATTGGAGAAAATGTTTCATGATAGTACAATATTATAGAGATATTTTTACTATCAAAACGGGGGTGATTCTGTATAATTTCTAAGAAATTATTTTAAATTATATTGATTGTTTAAATGTAATTTATGATACATGTTTTAATGTAATTATTTTTTTAAAATAATATTACTGTTGTGTGATGCTTTAATGTGAGAAGATACTTCTGTGGGAAAGGGGGGGCAACCTCTTCTTTTTATTCTCGTTCCAGATTGAAAGGTGTGGTGAAAGATGATCCAGTCATGGGTGAGACAGGCCAGTATGACCACGAGGAGATTATGCAAAGAACAAGGTTCTTCAAGAGAACAGAGAGATCCAGAACCCCAGGCCCAGTATTGATCAAAACTTTTAAGCCTGGATGAGAGCCAGAAACCAAAAAAAAAAAAAAAAAACTTGATCACAGAAACCAAACAGAGATCCAAAGCTCCAGGTCCAGCATCAATTAGAATTGTCAAGACCCAGATTACATCTAGAAACTCAGAGATGGTGAAGATGATCAAGAAACCAAGAGATGCTAATGAGATTAAGAACCAAGAGATGTTGGGATGCTGATGAAGTTCTAGAAACCCAGAGACACAGAAAAGTTGGAACAGCACAAATGGAATACCAGTGACTGCTTTTTCAAGTGAGACTTGTTGTCCAGATGGAAGAGACTGAACAGTGGATAAGAGAAAGAGAAGATCAAACCATTTTTAGAAACTTGGAAGTTAATGAAAACAAATGGTAAAAATACGGACCCACATTGAAGGCCTAAAAGCCTAAGGCCACAGACTGACATATGAAGAAACGAATACATACATACATACATACATGCATACATACATACATACATACATACATACAGATAGATTATATATTATATATTACTGTCCTTGAATGCACACTTGGATAAAAGATGTCCATGCTGAAAAAAGTAGACACAATGTGTTTATAAAAAAAAAAAAAAAAAAAAAACACAGGAAACTTTTCACAAACAAATGTTTGTTGTGCTGGGAGTGTACATTTGTTATCTAGTGGATGCAAATGTGGTGTAGTTAATATGAATGTTTAATGATTCTAATGTTTGATTTTAATGTGGATTATAATGAGGATGTTAACACTGTCGACACATTTAAAAAAAAAAAAAAAAAAAAAAAAAAAAAAGGGAAATGCTTGCACTCACAAATACTTGTTGTGTAGTAAATGTTCATGTGGTGTAGTTAATGCAATGTTTAATGTTCTTATGGTGTGATTTTTAATGTGGATTTCACTTGGATTTTAATGAGGATTTGTACGCTGATAAAATAGACACAGTGAGAAAAAAAAAAAGAACAATGCTTGCATAAAATGGACAATACTATGCAATGGTTGTACATATGAAAAAAATGTACATGCTAAGAAAATGAACGAGAAGAAACGATGCTTGCATACAAGCATGCAGACACACAAGCACGCACGCACGCACACACTCACTCACACACACACAATTTTTTCTATTGATTGATGTTCTTGCTCCTTTGGCTTTTGGCTGTAGTACTTTTTAGACTGATACATTAGAACATTAGATGTCATGGTTCTCATGTGCTCCTGTCCTAAACCCAAGAAATTATTTATATTTTATAGTTCCAAATTTGAAGAAGAGACTATGACAACTTGCCTAATTGGATGGAGCAATAACCAGTGTGCATGAGGTGATGACCCCAAGACGGGTAAGATTCTTTGGTGCCCAGCCAAGAACAACCTAAGCCAGGGCTTTACCGCCACTGGGCACCTGCCCATGAAGGGAGGTGTAATGTGTGAAAGAGTGGTTGTGATGCTTCTTTCTGGGCCAAAGAGCATCAGAGAGGGGACTGTAAGAAATGAGTCTGCCTCGACCCAACTTCCACTCTAAATGGTGAATTGATGCTCATTTCCCAAAAGGCTGACTTATGAGAGAAAAGAGAAGTCAACAAGGTCTTGTCTCTGCATTGTTTGAGGTGACTACATCTCAAACAAATGGTAACAATTGTAGAATGGGGATGGGTGTGGTGCACAAAGAACCATCTCATCAATGGTGTTGAAACTGCATTAACATGGAGAGATAGGGAGAACAGCTGGGTCAACAGCCAAGGAGCAACTTCATTAACATCTAAAGGCAACATCAAAAACAGTATAAAGGTTTGAGTTTAAGAATGTTCAGGGTTCATTCTGACTCCGGTGAACCCAAGGTACAGCCTTGTATTTTGAGACTGCTATGCTGAATAAACATCTTCATTGAGATTTTCTTCGTCATCATCATTTTTTCTTACATTGTCTTATAATAAGCATTTATTTTTAACCCAATTATATCAACGACTCTTATATGATTTGTTCAGTGATTCAATTGTTCCCAAACCCCTCCTTATGCTAATCTGTGCAGATTGGTCCGATAACATAGTGTTTTGCAATTTGTCAACAGCGTTTAGCGTGAGACAGATAGATATGCCCACCATGGCTTATTCATATTGTTGAAGTAGTCAGAGTGCAGAGTGTATGTGTGAGCCCAATGTAGGAGTGCATTAAAGCAGTGCAGTTTAAACACCAGCATATTGCTCTATTCTTAACCATGACACACATTCAGTATTCATCCACAAAGTGGCAAAAGCTTAACAATTTTGAATTGACCGTGCGGCACGTGTAAATAAATGCATTTAAATCGGTAAAGGAAAAAGCACTCGACGTGTTTTCGACGCGGTTTTGCACGCAATATGTGAATGTCCAAATAAAGATTTTACCTGAGAGATACAGTACAAGCACTGATCTAAAATAGATACGTGACTACAAACAGCGAGGAGCGATTTTAAAGTTACAACACACTATTAAATACATATTTTGCAAACTACACAAAACGAGGCGACAATTTTAATGACACTTAAATGTTATGATACGGAACTTGCTAGCTGCAACTTAACACTGGGAAACACCCATATACTCTTGCATGCACACATACACACACACTACAGTCATTTTAGCTTATTCAATTTACCTATAGTTCAGGTCTTTGGACTGTGGGGGAAAACCGAAGCACCCAGAGAAAACCCACATGAACACGGGGAGAAAATGGTAGCTATTTAGTATTTTTATTTTTTTTTTATTTTTTTATTAGTATATTTTGAGGCTGTACTGTGAAATCTTGTGATTTAATTGCGTTATATATCTGATACAATTTTGTATATCTAAACTTGTAGACTGAATTAAAATTAAATCTGAGTATAAATGTAAGAATTATTTTATGAACAGAAAAAGCTTTACACTTTATTATACACCCCTTTAAATCTTTAAAAGAGCCCATATTATACATGAAAAAGGGTCATATTTCGGTAACATGGATCTATAATAGCATGATATGGATATGAATTATTAAATTGTTTTTATTAAAACATTTTGCGTAGCAAGTTTTAAGAGCTGCTATTTTGCATTTTTAAAGGTCATATTTTGGTTTTGGGGGTCTCCAACAACAGTCTGATAAGCATGCAAGGTCAAAAAACACTTTCATGGTGTTATAATCTGCATTTATTATTAACTTATTATCCCAGAAACTCCCATACGAATCCTTAACACCAAAACCAGTGTAGTCCAACAACAGCATATTGCTCCATTCTTAACTATTACACACATTCAGAATTAATCCACACAGCAGCAAAAGCTGAAGTGTTCTGAACCTTGACCGCTGGATATGTGTAGGAACAGCTGGCGGTGGCCATACCGACGACAAACGGCAGTGGAACACGAGCTCACAAACGCATTTAAATCCATAAACAAAGCAGCACAAGTCGCGTTTCAACGTGGCATTAGACGCGATATGAGAATATAAAGAGTTAACCTGATACAGTACAAGAGGTTACAAGTAACACAACACAATTAAATACACCATTTGCAAGCTAGAGAAAACAAGGAGACAGACATTCACTTACACTCATGAAATGTGTCACGGGCCAGGTCTGATTTCATAAATTATCTTTCATTTTGAAGCTTTTCTCCCTTCTCAGCTGTAACTTAGATCATTTCCAACCCAAGCTCATTCTGGAAACGTAGCCCCGCGGACGTTTCTGGAGACCGCGATTTACGTGGCCGGAGGTACGTAAAGGCCGCGTTTGTTTTTTTTTCGAGCAAGCGCTGCGGGGCGGTGTGGCGCCGCTCCGCCCCTCCTCTTCGCGCTTGGCGGCCGACGGCTCGCCTACGAGTGGAGGGCTTTTACGATGCAATCAGTTTGTCCACTTAGCTCACAGCGTTGCGTCGGCGGAGCGGAGGCCCCAGAGGAGGAGCCGGAGCCGGAGCCGGCCGCGGTGGACGACGACCGGGATCGAGTCCGGGGAACAGCAGGTTCCGGAAATCAGGTAAGACGAAAAACGGAATCCGAAAAATAAGGGCGAGAACGCGGTGGGATCCGAAAACGCGGTCGAAATCGAAGACGAGGGCTTTTGCTTTTTTTTTTTCGATCCGGCGGCTTTTCGCGCGAGAACGGCATGGGCGCGAACGCCGCACACTCCCGAGAGGCGCCCGAGACGAGAAAAAGCACGCACAGCGGCCTCTCGCGGATCCGCGAAAACAAAAAAACGCTCGAATACGTACCTCCTGGGACGTAAATCGCGGTCCGCAGAAACGTCCGCGGGGCTACGTTTCCACAATGAGCCCGGGTTGATCATTTCTGTGCACAATTATTGCTGTGGGACCTCTTGCATAAAGTATGTTCTCAGGGCTTACCAGTACTCTGCTTTGCCCGAAGATCACATCCCCAGCCAGGGGGTTGTAGCGCTCACCAGCGTTCTTCCTCAGCTGCAGCAGGCATCCTTTGTGCCTAATAAACTGGCCTAATTTTGCACGCACCCCTGGTGTATTGTCTGTCCATTCTCACAAGTCTCATACATCTTTTCTGATGCTTCCTTTAACTAACGAAAGAATCGCTCACTGTAAGCGTATAGACTGCTAAATCACTTCTTTCCCCTCACACTTCCAATAATATCCAGGTAAGCACAGCGTCTTCTTGACTCATCAGGACTTCAGGATCTGTTTGTCTTTGCTGCTGTGTTAGTGGGCAGGGACAGGGTTTAAATTTTTCCCGGGTTTGCGAGCGCAACAATTATGTTTTATGGTCAAGTCACGCCGAAACGGCTTAAGACACATTATAAAGATGATTCAATCTAACCACTATGAGTCGACTCTTATTTAGATGAATCAATAGTTTTAAAAACTGTCCACTTTCAGATTTAAGCCTTAGCTGGATATTTCACTTCACTTAGATCTGTGTTACACACTACATGGAAGCTCATTTTCAAAAACCCACAATAGGGGCTCTTTAAGACCAATATATTGTGCATTACAAACATGTACATACAAGCATGTAAACTTCCTGCTTCATTAATTTCATGGTTCGCATGCACACCTGCATCTGGTATTTCTATTAATAATTTATTCACTGGATACCTTTGTGATTGAGGCAGCCGCCAGCTGTTTTTCCAGCTTCCCAGCTGCCATTGTAGCGCACAGTTTTCCAGCTGCATTTAGAGGAATTGTCCAGAAAGTCGGGAGTGAAGCAGCAAATATCAACTTCTTCGAAGTTTTTGGAGAAATCCTCCATTGACATCCTATGGTGAAATATGTGTTATTGACAATATCTGACTTCTTAATGCAGCAAAGATTACATCAGAAACTGAAGTCAATGCCCACCAGAATTCACCATCATTGGCCAAAGACCAACACTTGGTTCGCTCACTCTCACTCACTTTGTTCCACATTGAGGATCTGAAAGTTACACATACACATTAGCATAACATTGGGGTTATGATAAAGCTGAGTACACAACTGCAACAAATAAAAAGGAAAATAATAAGCATGGAAAGAAAAGCCCTAGATAACCTGCATGCCCACTGAGAGGATACTCTTATATTGAGAGTATGCAGTCTTTTTAAATCTATAGAAATTAAAGTAACACTATGCAACTTTCGCAGTAAGTGCAATTGCCTGTTACCAACAAAGCACATTTCACTAATCCGCTAATAAGTCCATAGTTTTGCTGAAAGGGATGGACAGGCAGAATTAATCTAGTTAAAAAGTTAAACTGCTGTCCCACTATTAGGCTGAAAGGTTTGCTCAACTGCCAATTTGAGCCAGTCAGCACAGAAACAGTTTAATTTTTACCACGATGCTGATAAAGGAACTCTTTGAAATGTTATACAAATGCGCCAGGGGTTGCCTCGATCTTCCGTTTATTTGACTTTGGAGAAACTGGCAGCCAGGCGACAAAGTGGTGAGGTCACTGTGCCTACCAGTCCAGCACGGTTCAGTGCAGTTGTCTAACCAAGGTTCAGTATGATAGTGGAAAAGCAGCTTTATTCTACCACTCATTTTTGCACATTGTTTTAAGGTCAAAAAGATTTACGAATAAGAAAAAAAAAAAGAATTTCAGTTCAAAATACCCTGCTGATAATAAAGTCTTATACTGCCCTTTTTAAGCTTTGATCCAAATTATGCTATTTTGGTGACTGTCACTTTAAATTCAAATAAAATTGTGCTCCCAGTCCTATTTTGAAAAAAGTACAAAGCTAGAAATGGCTATGCGTTAGCATATAAGCAGATTCAAAATGGCTGCTTCTCACTCAGGGCTGTCTATGCTAATGGGGGAGAGATTGTCACTAATGGGCAGGTCTTTACCTCTCTGTTAACATATACAATAGAATAATGTCAATCAAAGTGTGTTGCCAGACAACTGTGTTTAAACACCTTATAAAAGTGATTTTGTCATAAGTCCCCTTTAAAACGCTTTGCGATAATATTGTCATAATTTTCTCCGAGCCTCCTTGTTCATGAATGACTCTGAACTTCTTTCCCTCTGATCTCAACATCAGAAAGCAGTTGGATGAAATTTGTTTTTAGTGAAGTTTCAGATCTTGGTCCTTTGTTTACTTCATTCACAAACAAGGCACACTTCAGTTGATTTTGAGGATGAGATGATGATGTGCAAAAAAATGTGCCACACACGTGTGATTAAATATATATATAGATTTTAGATCTGCAAAAATGAAACAAAACCAAAAGCAAAATGAATGAGCACACAATGAATTAATCTGGTGGTAACTGCATAAAATGGCAATAGTTTATTTTTTGCTGTGTGAATTTTTTTAAATAAATCTTTTTTTTATTATTTGAATTCTTTTATTGTTAATTGTATTGTACCTAGTTTTGGTCAAAAACTTCATATGTTTGTTTGAATAATAAAGACACAAAATTAATCCCGGGATTCATGGGTTCAAAACTTTTCAACTCACAAGCAAAACATTTCAACCTGCAAGCAAAGATTCTAGATGTGCAATAAAAGACAGGAGAAAAGAGAGCAAAATTAATGAGTGTGCAATGAAAATTGTGGTGACTGCATAATAGGAATATTGTTTATTTTTTGCAATCCAAAATATTTCATTATCATTGACATAAGTTTTTAAATTAAACATGTTTTTTATTTGAAATCTTAATTTTTTTAATTACTACATACTTTTTTTTTCTTTAAAACTAAATATTCTTGATTGAAAAATAAAGAAACAAATCTAGCTCCATATGTATGAAGGTGTACTGTATGGTGTCAAACACGTGGATAAACTGATCTTCAATTATAAAACCAGTGTTCATTCACTTCTGAGTCTACAATCTGCCACACCTGTTCAAACAGTGTTCAGGCAGTCAAAACAGGACAGGGAATAGCTTATTACACATTAATTACTAAATTATGAAGGGTTTAGATATAAAAATATAAAATAAAATAAAAATAAAATTGTTAGCCCAAACTGAATTAAAAATCATCTGCTGATCCAAGTGGTATTGCTTAGCCATCAAAACTCTTTTGCTTAAACTGATTGATGTTTGTGTTTATTTCGGTTCACAAAAGATGACGTCATAACAGAACTGTCTTTTGTTGAAGGGGCTGTCTATACTGCAAAAGACTGACAAAAGGCAACCTTTAAACAAAAGACAACAACATGTCATTCATTCAGTAAAAAAGGCAATTCAGGAGATATGAATGACATTGACGGTAGGTGATGTAAGCCATGCAAATAAAAACGTCTACAATGATGTATACCGTGAACGCTCCTTAAAACAGCTGTAATGGCATATCTGGGGACTAATATACACAAGCACTCCTCACAGTTATCTCTTACAAACTACAACCTTTTATAGGATACTATATAGACAAATATATTTGTGTATTTTCATTGTATTAGTCAGTACCAAAGTCAACTAATCTAACAAAATCATTTAAGATTACGGGGCAAAAATGTGTATACCCCAATATGAATATGAATATGTTAGGGGGAAACAGAAACGTGCCATTCGCACGGAGCTTCAGCGTCAACGCTTGACTGAAGGTTGTCTGTTGACTGAAGGGCGTGTCTGAAGTTGGGGCTGAAGCTATCGTCATAGAAGCGTCAGCCAATGAAATTCAGTCAGCAATAGGCCACTGTCTAGCTGATATATTTGCATACAGCAATCTGATTGGCTGACGCTTCCATCGGCGCTTGAAAAGTTGAGCTTTTACAGCTGCTTGGGAGTTTTGCACCAATAATACCTTCATAGCTAGTCCCAACTTTTGCAGCGAGCAACGTCTCTGAAGCGGTGCCGACGGATCCACAATGCAGTTCGGCAACACCTGACGTCACCCATTCAAAGTGAATAGGAAGCATTGACGCTGACGTAATATTTTAATTAATAGGAAAACAAAATCCGGAGAACCATCAGAAATATGTGCTTTAGTTGAATCGTTTGCAACACCAATTTGAATTTAAATGTATTACGTCTATTCAATTACTGAAAATGACATCCATTCCTAAAGATGTTAGGTGACACTATTTTCTTTGAATTAATTCATTAATTAATTTTCTTGTTGGCTTAGTCCCTTTATTATTCCGGGGTTTCCACAGCAGAATGAACCGCCAACTTATCCAGCAAGTTTTTACGCAGCGGATGCCCTTCCAGCCGCATCCCATCTCTGGGAAATATTTAAATTAATATAGCTGCTTAAATTCACTAAAGTATATTGTCTATATTCACTATATACATGAAATTCCCAGGATTTAGTAAAAACTAGTAAAGGGTCATGTTTTCATTTGTTGTGATTGAAAATCTAAGTTATTCCACCAAATATTGATTTTTTTTTATCTCTTCTGCAGTTACTACAATTATAATATAATATAATATAATATAATATAATATAATTTTCATGCGACTCCTTAAGTAAGGATAATATTCCTTACTTGTCACACCAGGCACCAGTCCACTCGCGTTTTCCCCATGGGTTCAACACTCTCACCAGCCTTACTGGTGCTCCTTGCCATGTTACCTGTCAAATACATCATGACACAACACATTTAATTCAAAAAGCTTATAAAAAATCCCTTGGGTGTACCACAACAGTGTAAACCCAATGACAACCACAAACTAACCATGATTCTGCGGCAATAACCATAGTTTAATGGTATTTGTTGTTAAAATGTGGTTGTACAACGGACAAACATTGGACATGCCTGGTTTTTCACTAGTGTCATGATGAAATACCGACATGATTGAAGCATCTGTACAGAATGTTTTGAGTTAACGTACAAACATTTAATTTACAACATCACAGTGCAAGCTGTACAAATGACATAATAAAGGGTGGAGCAGCTCACATGAGCGGAAGGCAATGAGGCTGGAAATACTATTGTGTACACAATTACAACAACAATCAACATTAGAACAAAGCAAGCGAGTTTTAGAAAACACCCAACTTTACATATTTCAAGCCTGTTGATATGAATTATAATTTCTCAAACAATTAGCCAGTATTGGTGTAACTAACTCAACTTCTTGCTGATTGAAAATAGGGGGTTACATATGAAGAGAGGTCTCAGAAAAGAGCCTTGAGGGCACGACTTCTTGAAAACACAACAAAAGCTTGAAAATAAATAAATAAATAAATAAATAAATATTATAAATTAATTTATTTATCATCTATCTATCTATCTATCTATCTATCTATCTATCTATCTATCTATCTATCTATCTATCTATCTATCTATCTATCTATCTATCTATCTATCTATCTATCTATCTATCTATTTTTATTAAATAAATAAATAAATAAATACATTTTATAATAAATAAATTGTGACAGGTCTTAATGTAGAACTTTCAGAAATTGCAATTCAGCTAGATTACATTTTGGCACATCCTAAAGGGATTGAAGAATATTTGGTATTTTTTAAGAAGCGGACTAAAATTGTCAAATGAACCCTAAGATTATTTAAAACAGAGCACACTGCTGCACTTTATATTTTCATTCATTCATTTTCTTGTCGGCTTTGTTCCTTTTATTAAACCCACGCGAACGCAGGGAAAACATGTAAACTCCACACAGAAACGCTAACTGAGCCGAGGTTCGAACCAGCGACCCAGCGACCTTCTTGCTGTGAGGAGACAGTACTACTTACTGCGCCACCTAATATTTTAATTTCTGTCTAAAATAAATCTTCCCATCTAATAATTCCCTTCATAATTCTCACATGAACATTAAATAAATCGGACGGGTTGATGTGTGTAATTATGTTACAAGTTTAAAATCAGATTTTATCTTCTGAAATGTTCACACTCCACAACTTCACTGCAGGTTTCAGCTGTCCCTGCTTTCCATTCTTCGTTTTAAAAAAGGAGACTACATATTTAGCAACTTCAGGAGACGATGAACCTATAAACTTGGCAGTCTCATGAAAAATATTGACAAACAAGATGTCTATAGATGAAAGTCCTAAGCATCATTGTCCTGCACCATTTGAAATGAATCAAGAGTCACTTTTGTCACAATTATATTTATCCACCATAGCTCATTCATTATGTCACACATCTTTATACTTATAGTAATGTAACTTTTCAACGTGCTGTCGATCAGATTAAAATAAACAATCCTTTACAACAATTTGAATTACATACTGATTAACCTGGCTACTTGACTTTTTTATTGGGATAGTAAATGCAACTACTCTCATGGGTAGGGTTGCACCAGCTGATCGTAAGTTCTTACTTAATCTGGAATGTAAAGTCCTCACTAGGGGCTTAGTTAGTTACTATTAGATAGTTTGTAACTAAATTTGTTCTCACTTCAGTTGCACCACTTTATTAAGGCAAATCGTAGTTAGTACGTCGTAAGCTCTCCATAAAGTCATGTGTAGTTGCATTGAATGACGTAAATTCCAATACAAAGCAATTAAATCTTATAACTGCTTTAAAATTCTGCAACAAATGCATCTATTGATAACTGTTCTATGAAAATAAAATTATAAATGACATTTTTTGGCATATTAAATTTATTGCACAAAAACTTATCAAAACTTTAAACTGTGTAAACTGATTTTTTTTCATTCATTCATTTTCTTGTCGGCTTAGTCCCTTTATTAATCCGCGGTTGCCACAGCGGAATGAACCGCCAACTTATCCAGCAAGTTTTTACGCAGCGGATGCCCTTCCAGCCTCAACCCATCTCTGGGAAACATCCACACTTACATTCACACACACACTCGGACAATTTAGCCTACCCAATTCACCTGTACCACATGTCTTTGGACTGTGGGGGAAACCGGAGCACCCAATGGAAACCCACGCGAAGGCAGGGAGAACATGCAAACTCCACACAGAAACGCCAACTGAGCCGAGGTTCGAACCTGCGACCCAGCAACCTTCTTGCTGTGAGGCGACAGCACTACCTACTGCGCCACTGCCTTGCCATCTGATTTTTTTTTATATATCCTAATAATGAAATTAAAGAGAAAAGAGCAGAATGAAAAACTAAATCAGAAATTCTCATTTGAATTGATGGATACAACAATAAAAAAACACTCTTTAAAAGATAATTAAACTCTACTTTCATAAACAAAAAGAAAATGCAAGATTTATTTTAGGCTGTGAGTGGAGGAAGACCATTCTTCATTATGATTGAGAGCTCCTTAACATAAACTAATCTCATCGCCATTTCTTTTCTATTGTTAAACATAAGATGAGGCTGTCGAAAAATATTGAGTTAGAACGTAGCGATACATTTAGCCTAAGGGTGCTTTCACACCTACACTTTTGTTTCGGAACGTATCTCGTTTGCCCAGTTAGTGCGGTTCGATTGGCATATGTGAACAGGGCAATCGCGCTCTGTTCCGCGCCAAAGTAATCGCTCCGAGATCGCTTGAATGAGGTGGTCTCGGCTCGATTGAAACGAACCCTGGAGCTGTTCGATTGCAGTGAGAAATCGATCCGATCCGAGCGCGGTTATATCACAGTGTTTTATGGATATGTAATAGGCTTACGGCTATATGAAGAGAGAATTATGAGTAGGGCGGGAAGTTTCGCGAGTCTCCGGATGCCCGCAAATGAGTGATGATCTCCCGGTAATCTCGCGTCTCTCTCCCAGTCCTCAAATAGGCATCGTCGCGCACCCTTCTCACCCCTCCCCACCGTGTCTCTCCTCAGACACATCACGCGCGCGCACCCTGTCAATCACCACCAAACCACCACCTCTACTGACAGCTGAGCGGGACGCTGCAAAATAAACCCTGACACTCTGACCAATGTAAGGAGAGTTTACTCGCACGTGACTTATTTTAGCTCTTTTGGTCCGATTAGAAATTTTGCAGTGTGAAAGCGAACCGCTCCAAGACCAAAGAGCAACAATGTAACAATTGTAATCTCTGTTTCGGAACAACTGAATCGATTCACAGGTGTGAAAGCACCCTAAGATCAGCGATGCAACACAAAAATATTTAGCAATGTGTAAGTTGTAACGTAGTGTCCGTTTAAGTCACAACTAGGCTATGTTTTAACTTACGCAATGCTGGTGCAACCGGCCCTGCAGTGCATTATGTGCAGTACATTATGAAAAAGTATGGACTTTCTGCTGCCAATAGATGTGCAGTCATGCTGCGGTGAGATTTGAATGTAAGATATGATGAATGAAAATACATAAATATCTAGACAGGTTTAGACAGGGAAAGTGAAGGGTTTTAGAAGTACTATAAAACAACATATTGAGACAGGTTTTTGGCAAACACTGAAGCTGATTATTTACAGTAAACTCTGAGAAAGTAAACTCACAGGTTTGACAATCAGCGGGGGCTGATAAGATTGTACAGTGGAGTATATTTTGACCCTGGATAACAAAACCAGTCATTTTAGAAAATTAAGGTTTATAAGGTCATTGCTTTCCATTGATGGATTGCTTGCTGGGATTGGACAATATTTGGCAGAGAAAGAACTAATTGAAAATCTGGAATTCAAACAAACGAATAAATAAAATAGAGTCAAAATATCGTATTTCGATTTTATAATAATATTTATAATAAATGTTTATATTAAATATTATATATATAATAAACATCCTTCATGGAAGAGGATTTTTACTTTATTTCCAATTGATTTTCAGCAAAAAAAAAAAAAGTTTCGTAGGTTTCATAAACTAATTTCAAGAGGAGCATGTGATAGGATTGTGCACGACTGACTGCTCATATGTAATCAGTAATAATCGAATCAGAGTGATACAAGCTTACTATAAATGGATCATTTTCTCTCTCCTGCTCTATCTTTGTTTTGGAAGAATCCCCCCTTCCACCCCATCTCCTCCTTTTCCTCCCTTTTGTAGGGGGGAGCTCTCCAGACCTACCCGACCTATGATTCCCTTATATGCTTATTGACCGGGCGTGAATGTAATTATACATATTTTAAGAGTTCCAACTTAGTTGTGCTTAGCGTTAATAGCAGGTTTAGCATGCTATACCGGGAGAGAACCCGGAGCTCAGAGATACTTAAGCCCAAGGCTCCCGCCTGGTCAATAAGCATATAAGGGGATCATAGGTTTCTTACAATTTACTGTGTGTTTGATTATTCTCACATATAGTGAACATGTCATGTTTTTTTTCCTGGAAATAATATTTCTAAAGGAGCTGTTGACATAGAATTAAACCAGATTTTGGGTAATTTATATTGGATTTAGGTCAGGTGATTGGCTGAGCCATTCTACAGCTTGATTGTCTTTTTCTGAAAGCATTTGAGAGTTTCCTTGGCAGTGCTTTGTATCATTGTCTTGCTGAAATGTCCACCCTATAGTTTCATCTTCATCACCCAGATAATGTAGATATTGGACTGAAGCAGCTAATATTCATTTACAATAAGGAAGTGCGGAGGGTTGCTGAATAACTACTTTGAGATTTCAGCTGCTGTCTGGGCTTTCATTGCCTTTCACTGCCTACACCTCCCTTTGTTCATGTGTTTAATACTTTTTTTTTCCCTGTGTCATTTCATTTTATTTCGCATAACTTAATTTGTAAACTAATTAAATTAGCTTTCTTTTAATATATGGGTTTAATTGGCTGCTATTGTCATGATCACCAGCGATCTAAACACCAAAGATTGCTGTAAAACACACATTTACATGAACTACAAATCCGCCATGTTATGGACTACATATCCAGTCATGCAACACATGCACACACCTGCTTCAAGTGTCCACAGTTTAGACACTCACAGTTGAAACTACTCATGGACTGATTCATGAACTATATATTCAACACATTAACACACAGTTGTTGCTTGGTCTTGTATTCTTTAAAGTAAATATTACGATGCGTTTCTTATTGCTTTGTTTTGTTTGATTATCCTGTATGCTGCCTGCCTTTTGACCCCTTGCCTGCTATTTCGACTTAGGCTCTGGATTGCCCAAATACATCTGTTTGTTCCTGTTTTGACCACTGCTTGCTTGACCATGCTGTTCAGTAAAGACCTGCATAAGGATCTTAATTCCGTTGTCCACTGTCACTGTTACAGCTATCAACATCTAGTGACAATTTCAAGTCAATGGCTCCTTTAGAAATATGTATTCTGGTAAAAATGGAATTGTGTTCAATACTTATTTTCCCCACTGTACTTGTGTGAGAATGAATGACTTGATGCTAAACCATGCAAAACCTTTGTGAGATTTGTAGGCAGCTGGCCTAACAAGTTTAAGTAACTTGACGTTGCTGTGAACTGACATTTGATTCGGTGCATACGTACCTTGAAAATCCCCGTCACTGAATATGCATGCCCTTGAACAATGCCATTAGGTAATTCTGTATTTGCAGATGTTTTCTGATATTGAAGAGAAAAAAAAATCGGTTACACTTCAGGTGAAATATGCAACTGTTCCCTGTTCGCTATATAATTCCATATTTGGTTGAAAAGACTATAAAGAAGTCTTTAATACAACATCTGATGTTCAATGACAGCATTTTATATGAACATATCTGTCAAAGAAAAGCCTGTGGTCACTGCTTACCCCCGGGTATGTGCCACAAGCCATTAGAGCCTTGCATTTGGCAGCTCGGTCCATCAAGCTCCACAAATCAAGGGGAGGTTTTTCCAGTTCGAAACGCACATGGATGCCACCGGTGAAGTCCAGCAGAGCCTCAGATACAACACCGGCGTCCATGTCAGAATAGGAGCCGCACACCCTGGAGAAGAATTTTTGTAAGTCAAGCATATGTACATCATCAGACCAACAAAGTTTCAATGTTTCATGAGATTCCTCAAATTGTTCAAGATTATGACAATAGTTGATGATCATGTTATCTTAGGCTTAAACACACATCTTCAATACTGGGCTGACTGGTGTTGCATAAAATATGAAGAAACAGATCTGTGAAGCATTTTCTACTTTGTTTTTAATCCAGTGTGTCTCATTTATTTCTTAACCGATCTCATTACATGAATTGAGTAATTGATGCCATCATTTTAATTCAAAAGTGTGAAACTTGAGGATTAAAACAAACAAACAAAAATGTCCCAGTACAGAAACTCAAAAAAATCTCAGTTTCCCATTAGTATTTTATTTTTCATCATCATCTATGGTGGTTACAGCCATGAATCATTTACTCTACACTCCAAAAATATGTTTTGCTGCTTGTTGAAACTAATTGTTAAAAATGACCAGAAACAACACAATTCTGGAGGATTTTTAGGGCAAACTTAATTATTGTATGTCCAATCTACTTAAATTAGTTACATTACCTTAATAGATGTGAGACAATATGAATGATGTGGAACCCTGCATTTTTACAGTGTAAAAAGAATGAGTATTTACAACGCATAATAATGGCCATAATATCTTGTAATTGTGGTTAAATATGTTAGATTTTTCAATAAAATATCCAAAAATCACAAGAGCAGTTACATATTTTGCTGACCCATTTCACTTTAACAGCTTTCAGCCTTACTCTGCTTTATTCTACCACAGTAATACGTTTTAAATACTTTACAATGTAATGGAGATAACAACTTCTACACTCATCAAACTACGCATTTGTTTGTTGTGAATATGTCCTCTCTATGGGCAAAAATGACACACTGTTAGGCATGGGCCAGTTATAGTTTCTGATGGTGTGTTAACCTTGGATCAGTGATCAGTTTCACAGTATCACTGTTGTAAAATAATTTATTTTTAAATGTCTTAATAAAAAACAACAACTTCTTTCCTCATTTAACTCAATGTATTACATTTTAGAGAAACATGTATAATATTTTGAAACAGTAAACATGCCAGGCTAGATAATTAAAATAAACCGCTGACTTCTTCTCTATTCATTAGCTTCAAAAACACAGATAAAAACAAAACAACTTGAAACTGGTTATCATCCCATGCCTACATACTGTGTCTTTAAACTATATATTATAAATGTTGAAAAATCGTGTTTGATAAATGTTGAAAAAAGTGTTTGATACTACATAAAATAAGCAGAATAATTGTATCACAACACAGGGGGACTTACTTGGCATAGGCTTTCTCCAGTAAGGCAGGCCAGAACTCATTTGATGTTTTTGAATGAACAAAAATCAAGTCACCCTTAATAGTCGGCAGTTTGTCATCAATGACAACATCAATCCATTTCCCAAACCGCCAAAACTACAAATGAGGGAGAACATAAATGGGTTTATAGATTAGTAATAGGATTTTGAGAAATTAGGACTCAAAAAGATAAACAGAACTCACTCTGAAGTGAAATATCCCTGCATAATCTTTACCAAAGGACTGGCCTTCTGGCATTACTTGATACAAGACATCTTTCTGAAAGGTTAAAGTCCCAACCGAAGCAAGAAACCAGCAGTTTCCTAAGGTAAAAACCACAAACATCATCAAAAAAATAAATAAAAAAATCTGTGCATTTGACGCTGAGATTTAATTCAAAAGCTAACGCCAATTTGAATATGCAAGTAAACATACCTAAAAAAGATCCTTGGGAATAGTCAAATCTGGAAACCCCCTTTACAATGAACTGAGGGTCTGCCACTATTTTCTAAAGAGAGAAGAAAATAAATGAATTATACAATGAAATTTGGGGATTTGGAAGTGCAGAATATGTTTTAAGTTAAGACTACTTATTTGAGTAAGGGGGAAATTGAAAACTCAGTTTAATTGAGCTGATCTAATCATCACTGAATTAGCTTAATGTTTAAGTATAAATCATGTAAGGAAACAGACTAAACTTAATCTGTCGGTTACATATTGATGTTAATTGAGCTGATCTAATCATCACTGAATTAGCTTAATGTTTAAGTATAAATCATGTAAGGAAACAGACTAAACTCAATCTGTCGGTTACATATTGATGTTTACTTTTAATAAACAACTTTAAAATAGTTGGTAACACTTTACAATAAGGTTCATTAGTGAATGCATTTACTAACATAAACTAATCATGAACAACACTTGCACAGCATTTATTAATCATAATTAAACATTTACTAATGTATTATGACATCCAAGTCCATGCTTGTTAACATTAGTTAATGCACCGTGAGTTAACATGAACTAACAATGAACTACTGTATTTTCATTAACTAACGTTAACTAACATGAACAAATACTGTAGTAAATGTATTATTCATTGTTTGTTCATGTTAGTAAATGCATTAATTAACATTAACTAATGAACCTTATTGTAAAGTGTGACCAAATAGTTAAAACAAGTTGTTTTCAGTAACGGTTTAAAATAATGGTCCATTAGTTAATGTTAGTTAATTTATTTACTAACATGAATAAACAATACATTTATTACATATGTGTTAACATTAGATTAAATAACATTAATTCATGTTAAGTCATTGCATTAACTCATAACCAATGTTAACAAGCACAACTTTGGGTTGTAATAATGCATTAGTAAATGTTGAACTATGATCAATAAATGCTTTCCAAGATTATTCATACCTTTTTAACGTTTACTAACATTAACTAATGGACCATTATTCTAAAGTGTTACCAGTTGTTCTCCTCATGAACAGCATTATTAGTGTCATTTCAATATTTTCAATAAAACGAATCAAATTAAATAGTCTTTAGTAATCAGCTTAATCACAATCGTGCCATCTTAACTGATCTATGCACATAAAACAGTATAAGCCCACATCGTGTCATTTTAACATCTATTTTTGAATGCGCTTTTTTAATTTGTGATTCGGGTGACAGATAAACCTGTCCTGACAAGACCCGAGAGACATTTTGCAACCCTCTGATGGCAGTTGGTTATTTTCAACAAGACTCTTTCAGACAATACAGTCAACGCAGGTAACTTACTGATGGCCTCAGCCACTGGATTTGGGACATATCCAGTCCGAGTTTGTTATTTGGGTCAATGGAGCTGCTGTCTGGAGGAAATCTATCATCGACAAATCTCATCCTGTTGGTGATGCAGCTCTTCAGCAACTCCTGGTAGTCTTGACCCAAGAAATTCAGAGGCACGTCAAGAGTGCCTGCTTTTTCTTTCATGGTCATTTCAGACATGGGTTTGTTCACCTGAGGAGGAGGCATTTTTCTGGCATCAAAACTGTTTAATAGGGAGGAAAAAATACAATGAAATACAAATAATGATGCCACATCTGTCTGTTACTAGAAAGACAGAGCTCTCACAGTTTTATTTTTGTGTCTGTTTGTATACAAAGACCTAAAAGATAAGGGACTCTAAACTTGGTAAACCTGTCCAGGGGTGTAATCTTGAAGGACAGATCTTGACAGTTATCACTACAAGATAATATAACAGCTGTAAAATATAATCAGTTGGTAAATTCAATTCTGATTTAAATGTTACACCTACCTTCAAGGAGAGCAGCTCGCCTAAATGAACAGATTGTCTTTCTGGCTTTGACTTTTCTCTTTGTTCTGCCCTAGGCTCTGGAATTCCTGTTCGGGCTGAATGAGGTTTTCAGGAAGTGTGTGGTGTTATGTTTGAATGCTTTTGTTTTGCATAACACGTCACTGCACAGGTATCCACTGCTCAAACTGGGGGGTGTCTTCCAAATTCCTCCCACCTGTTCAATTACATAACCATGAGTGTCTCTAAAAGTAACCTTTTCTCTATAAAATGAACATGCAACAAGGGCAGTTTGGATATCAAGTGTACTTTTTTCTTTATATATATATATATATATATATATATATATATATATATATATACATACAGTTGAAGTCAGAATTATTAGCCCCCCCTTTGAATTTCTTTTTTGAATATTTCCTAAATGATGATAAACAGAGCAAGGAAATTTTCACAGTATGTCTGATAATATTTTTTCTTCTGGAGAAAGCTTTATTTGTTTTATTTCGGCTAGAATAAAAGCAGTTTTTAATTCTTTAAAAAACATTTTAGGGACAAAATTATAAGCCCCTTTAAGCACATTTTTTTCTCGATAGTCTACAGAACAAACCATCCTTATACAATAACTTGCCTAATTACCCTAACCTGCCTAGTTCACCTAATTGACCTACTGTAGTTAAGCCTTTAAATGTCACTTTAAGCTGTATAGAAGTGTCTTGAAAAATATCTAGTCAAATATTATTTACTGTCATCACGGCAAAGATAAAATAAATCAATTATTAGAAATGAGTCAATAAAAACTATTATGTTTAGAAATGTGTTGAAAAAAAATCTGCTCTCCATTAAACAGAAATTGGGGAAAAAATTAAACAGGGTGGCAAATAATTCTGACTTCAACTATATATATATATATATATATATATATACATATATATATAAAAAGTAAACTTGAGATCCAAACTGCCCTCTTATATGTTTATATTCCTCAAATGTACTTTTACCTTAGAATGAATGATTATATAATTTAATAATCAATAATTAGACCAATCTTTAAAATGGTTATGATGCAAAAGCTTCAAGATCACTTCTCAGTCCTATGTTCCTATGTTTTCAATCGTGATGTTCACACCAGAGACTTTATGTAGTTAGTTTTTGGTGCGTTTTTGGACAGCAGCCCGAGACCTCTAAGTGGAAAAGAGTTACACCATGGGGGGTTGGATTAGGACTGGAAAGGATACAAACTGCAGCTAACACGCACATATAAATAGCATCATTTTGAGATGCTGTACAACAACAATTTGTGTGTTTTATTGCTGTAGCGGGGTAGTTTTAGGGTTGGGGAACATTTATATGTAAACACATTATGTAAAAAGAAGGGTTAGGGTTGGGGTACTCTCAGAAATAAAGGTAAACGAATTTTCACTGGGGTGGAACCTTTTCGAAAGCTACACATTTGTACTTAAAGAGTATATTTTGGTACCTCAAAGGTAGATATTAGTTCCTAAAAATTTCAAGAGGTGCACTTTTGTACCCTTGAGGTACTAATATGGACACTTTAAAGTACAAATATGTACCTTTCGAATAGGTACCACCCCAGTGACAGCTCTTGTACCTTTATTTCTGAGAGTGTATGTATAGACGTCAGTGAAACACAATATATAAACAATAGGTCACTGTATGGGGAAGGTTTAGGGTTGGGATAGGTGTAGACATTAATAAAAACACAATAGGTTGCATTCAATGTCATACACTGCAAAAAATGCTTTTCTTACTTAGATGTTTTGTCTTGTGTCTTGTCTAAATATCTAAAAGTTCTTAAATCAAGAAGCATTTTCTAGACAAGCAAAACATATTGTCTTGTTTTAAGAAATAATATGACAAAATGAAGTGAGTTTTTCCTTAAATCAAGCTAAATAATTTGGCAATGGGGTAAACAAAATAATCTTATCACAAATTGAAAAACAAGCCCAACACAGCAATCAACTTGAGACTGTGGCATGGTACAATATGAAAAGAGTTTAAAACACATAAAAATATGCCTTTTTGAAGCAATTTTTGAATAGCACACTTTTAAATTTGAATTTGTAGGTTCTACTTACAAAATCGACTAAATAATGTCCAATGGTTTTATAGCCAGGAATTTTAAGACAAGGAATTCCGAATGTTTGCATGCATAAAATTCTGATAAGATCCCCTGATTAATAAAGGGACAAAGCTGAAAAGAAAATGAATAAATGAATGAATGAATGGATTAGTATCTTGAAAAAATATCTAATAAGTATTATGCACTGTCATCATTGTAAATACAAAAGAAATCCATTATTAGAACTTATTTTCTAAAACTATATGTTAAATTTTATTAAATAATAATAATTCTGACTTCAAGTACGGTCCTACTTTATATTAAGTGTCCTTAACTACTATGTACTTACATCAATAAAATAAATACAATGTACTTACTGTGTTTATAATGTATTTGTGAACACTTGTGGTGCTTTTGAGTTGGGATAGAGGTTGGGTTATGGACAGATTTGGTGGTATGGGTAGGTTTAAGGGTGGGTAAAGGTGTAAGGGATGATCAACAGTGTATTTACAAATGTAATTACAAAAGTTAATTACAGATGTAATTACATACATGTATTTAATCAAGGATGAGTACATAGTAAATACATGTATTTACACAATAAGTACATAGTAACAAACTATTAATTCCTGTGTAAGTACATATTAGTTAAGGAAACTTAATATAAAGTGGGACCCTCTAGAGTTTAAAAACCCTTAATGAAGGCTGTTCACTTTCTGAGTGTCATGATCAGACAAATACTGTTAGGAAAGGCGGTGCCATTCTGTGAAAGCAAAGCAAGATGAGAAAGAGCGAGCAGTAAACAAATGTGGTTAAAGACTAGCAGATGTTAGAGAGAGCCTGCGGGAAGGATAAACCATGTGCTTTTCTGGAGAAAAACAAGTGACGCGATCACAGTCTACAGCAAACTTAAGCCTGATATTTTTTGCTAAAAAGATGCTTTTATGAAAAGTACCCATGAATATACCCTCACTTAGCTGTGCATGGAATAAAGGAACAGATTTTGGGTGCTCTACCAACTCTATGAGGAACCGAATCAGCTGGAGGTGAGACTGGCCTTTAAAATAAAGCCTGTCATCCCTGAGGATGAACAGAAGTCTTCACGTTTTTTTTTTTCTCCAAGCAAACAGCAGAAACCAATTGCCAAGCAGATTACAGAACAGTGGCATGTTTGACTAATCATGACCAACTGGTGGACCAACAATGGCCTGAGGAAAACTCCTGACATATGATAACCTCAGACAAGCTGTTTTGTATATTGTGGAAAGTTGGAAACCTGTAACTAGAGCTGTGCAATTTGGGGAATTATCTAAGTGTGTTTTTTTTTAACTCATTTGTCCAGCCCATTACATTATAAACCACAGGAGAGGGCAAATTCTTCAGCAGGATAGCGCTCCTCCTCAAACTTCAGCCTCCATATTAAAGTTCTTGAAAGCAAAGAAGGTCAAGGTGCTCCAGAATTGGCCAGCCCAGTCATCAGACATGAACATTATTGAGCAGGTCTGGGGTAAGATGGAGGAGGAGGCATTGAAGATGAATCAAAAGAATCTTGATGAACTCTAGGAGTCCTGGAAAAATGCTTTCTTTGCCATTCCAGATGACTTTATTAATAAGTTATTTGACTCATTGCAGGGATGTATAGATGCAGTCCTCCAAGCTCATGATGGAGTCAGACACAATATTCATTCTTCTTTTTCCAATGCACTTTAAATTCTATAGCAACTGTACATTATTTTTGTTAAGTGACAAGACTTTTATCTAAACAAAGTCAGACCTTACCCTAAAAATACCCAATGTCAGACCCAACTAAATTAATAATTAAAAATCATGATCATATTTTATTTTGGTAAAAAAAAGTGTAATCTAGAGGCTTTTGCCTTTCATATAAGCCACTTCTGATACCAAATCAACTAGAAGTCAATTATGATTTGCTGTTCCTAAAACATGGTTCAAGAGTTCACACTTAGCTGATGATTTACAAAAGCTTGTTTGGCATGCTGTCCCGGGAGAGAGCCCTGAGCTCAAGGGCTCCTCGAGCCCGGGGCTTCCTCCCGTTGGCAGAGCAAGAGGGGAGCCTGAGCTCGGTGGATCTCAGAACTCCCCTGCTGCGGTAGCTAAGGAAACACAAGGGATTAGACAAGCTTGATTGTTAATGCATGTTGAATGTCTTTGGATGGTGGGAGGAAACCGGAGAACCCGAGGAAAACCCCCGCGGACACGGGGAGGACATACAAACTCCTCACAGAAACACCCACCGGTCCTGTGGAACCAGGGCCAGCAGTGTTCTTGCTGTGGGGCTCACAGTGTTAACCACTGGGCCGCCGTGCCACCCAATCACAGGTAAAGGAGGAGAATAGGGGAGGAGGGGGGTTTCTTCCAAACAAAGATAAAGTGAACTGAAAACTGTGGCTATTTATAGTAGCTTAGGGCTCATATGATTGGAAGATAGTGATTAGCAAATGCGAGACTGGCTGTGATAAATCATAAGCACGATCATCTCGAAATTAGTTTATGAATAAACTTCACTTAGAGGCAAGACTTTTGTCAGGTGGTGATAGATTCTGGGTTGAATCTGACAATAAATATATGCCACACCCACTTTTTTCTTCTAGTCTTCTAGTTATGGTGATAACAAGATAAAATATGTAGTCTATATACCAGGGCAGTTCTGGTATTTTCATTTTAAGGGAGCTCATGCCCGAATAAAGGTATGACTTTAAAATATATATTGATTGATTGCTAGGATTGGGTTGTATACTAACCGTACTTTAACAGTTAGTAGTACACTCTATTACAGATTATACGTTTACTTTTGAGCACAGTCTGTGTCAAATACAACACTACCTGATTTATACGTCAATGTCCAAATATGCAAACACATACACAAACACACACACACAGTTTCTATTAAAAACAAACTGTACTCAGCATTTCTACGTTTAAGTACAAAACTTACACACAGAAAAGTAACTAATAAACAATCACTAACAGTTGCATTCCTTACATGAACCTGGCGTTTACTTATTTATAAAAAAAAATAACAACATAAATATATTAAATTAATTTGCGCTGTGTTTTTGCTAGAAGTAAACAACTGTGTAAGGATGTAAACTCGAAACGAAACAACAATGTTTCCCAGGCCATTTTTTGGAATAAATTATGAAATGATGTTGCATTTATGGAAAAGAAAAGTCCAAATGCGTGTATTAGATATATCAAAACCATTTTTCTCTTGTCTTTGAGGTTCGCGCTACAGAGCTGAGATAGAGATGAGCCCAAACCTTCCGCAGTTTCATTTTCAATTATGCAATGACGAATTTGTACAGATTTACGGGGATAAACAAACCGTTTTAGGTGGTCTGGTTTGTACATACCATAAACAGCGCAAAGTCGTGGCGTCTCTCCTGCTGCAAGAAAAACTCGGAACTGTGGGTTCACTTCGCAAATAAAGTATTGACAACGATCTAATCCAATGGCACTGTAGTCAATTTGACAATATTTCAAGGGGGAACAGTGCCACCTCGTGCCACCCCTATAGACAAGCCCACGATGTCATTACACAACACTGCCAGAACTAGCGACCTTTTAAGATTATAAGCATCACGGGACGTATGATTGATAGATGTGCTCTTACTGAACATTTATTACTATGAAGAAGATTGTAAACATGACATTTGTTAATATTATTTCTAAGATACAAGTAAAAAATAATGGCTAAAAATAGTGGCTTGAGCCATTGTTATTCACAGATTCTGTACATTCTCAACAAATCTGATTTGCCCATTTAAGTTGCTCTATTCGATGTGGCCAGCTAGGCATCCTTGAGTATCATAAGAAATGTAAGCTTAAAATGAACTGTATAAAACTACAGTAAATAAACCTAAATACAAAGCTTTCCACTTCAAACTTCCTGGAGCGTACCAACCTTGCTGCAATACACTTACCTGGAGGTTTAAATCAAGCCTGAAAGACTCAATTAGTTTGATCAGGTGTGTTGTGTTAAAGTTAATCTGTGCAGAGCAGTCGTCCTCCAGTTTGTCATGCTTTACACAATGGCATGGCTAAAATAGACAATCCAGGCCCATGCAGAAATATCAAAGCAAGTGTATTAGTATAAGTATCAAATACCCAGACCAAGCTAACAGCTCAACGGTCCCTTACAAAAGGTAAAGCAGGGCTCCTCAAATTGTACCCAGGATGGCGAATGGCCTGCAGTGTCCTGACCAAACATCTACCTGCTGATCTTGAAGACATTGATTATTGTGCTTGATTAGTTCATTCATTCATTTTCTTTTTGCGGCTTAGTACCTTTATTAATCTGAGGTCGCCACAGCAGAATGAACCACCCATCCAGCACGTTTTTACGCAGCGGATGCCCTTCCAGCCGCAACCCATTTTTGGGAAACATCCACACACACTCATGTATACGGACAATTTAGCCTACCCAATTCACCTGTACTGCAAGTGGGAGTGGGAGAAACCGGAGCAACCGGAGGAAACCCACGCAAACAAAACCTCACACAGAAATGCCGACTGACCCAGCCGAGGCTCGAACCAGCAGCCTTCTTGCTGTGAGGCGACAGCACTACCTACTGCGCCACTGCTACAATGTGCTTGAATAGTGTTAAAGCTAAACTATGCAGGGAAGTGAACCTAGTGGGCCAGATTTGAGAATCTGAGCATCTCATTCTCAGTTAGGAGACAATGTAAATGACTCTAAACAAAGAACTTACAACTGCTATTTTAATAAAATGTTTATTAGCAAAACATTATCATACATATTATATGCTATAAATATAAATGAATGAATTCTATAGGTTGTGGAAATCCAGAGGTAGGCTTTAAATTATTGTCTTAAAGGGATATGCTTACTCCAAAACTAAAATTTCAAGTGGTTCTAAACTTTTATGACTTTATGAACAAAAAACAATATGTTCAGAAGAATATTGGAAAAAATAAGCAGTTGACATCACACAAGTAGCAAAAAAGTACAATAGAAGTCAATGGCTGATTTTCCCCCAACATTCTTCTGTTTATGTTCCTCAGCAGACACAGAAGAAAGAAACTCAAAACAGGTTTGAAAAAGTGGAGGATGAGTACATGATGAATTAATTTTCGGGTAAACTATCTCTTTCAGAACAAACAAAGGATAATAAACAGCACCATGTCTTGGTCATATGACAGCATACAAAACTGATCGTCCTGTTAAAATAAATAAATAACTATCCAATAACACGAGTAATAAATGATGCTGAAACCGAGCATTTTCCTGAAAGCTTTTAAATGATTTGGTACTGACAAACATGTTTTAGATTTAGTTTTATTTACTGATCACAAACACACAAAGAGCTGTATATTTGACTGTTTAACGAACAATTTAACAGAACTTTGAGCTTGAAAAGACTTGTTAAAGGCATAGCTTATTTAAAAAAATACTCTATAAAAAAATGCTTGTTTATAATTTTCTGAACTCAAAAGAAGATATTTTGAAGAAAGCTGAAGACCTGTAACCATTGACTTCAATTGTAAGAGAAACACAAGCCATGGAAGCCAATGGTTACAGGTTTTCAGCATTCTTTAAAACGTCTTCTTTTGTGTTCAACAGAAGAAAGGAGCTTAAACAGGTTTTGAACAAGTGAATGGAGAGTAAATAACGACAGATTTTCCAATTTTGGGTGAACTATCCCTTTAAGGAAATCTTTATATGGCCTTTATAATTTCCATTATAAAGAAAATCATTACATTAAATAGTCATTAGCCAGCATAGGCAGTTTAACAGAATAATAATAACGGCGTCCACTAAAATGCAAAAACACACAACCCCTTCACGCTATTTCAAACACTGGAGCACAAAAGTCGTTCAGCTGACTCTTCGCCGCAGGTGGAGAATGTGAATGTCGGGACTGTTGAACTCGGGGTCTTGTTTCTCAGACGAGATCTCCTCTGACTGGAAGTCTTGCAGTAGCAGCTGTGAGACAATAGCAAATATAATAACATAATGTTAATGCCATTTCATGTACATTCTTATTTCTACTATTATTTGCCTGAAGACCGACAGGTCTAACACACTCTCTTTAAAGGAATAGCTCACTCAAAAATGATAATTCTGTCATTTATCCAACCTTCAATTGCCACGCACGAATCTGTTTTTATTTTTTTTTCTTCTGTTAAACACGAAAGAAGAAACTTTTTTAAATGCTGACTAACCACTAGGGCTGGGCGATTTGGCAAAAAATACAAATCTAGGTTTTTTATAAAGTTTGACCGATTCACGATTTCGATTTTTTTTTTTTTTGTTACTAGTCTTATCAAAACATTACAACAACATGACTGAAGTAACACTCTCTGGTAACACTCACACCATCTGGTTAAGGAACATTGTATTTTTAATAGCCATGTCATACAAAAATCAGTCAAGGTGTAAATAAATGTAAAACAAACTCACGAGTTAGATAGCGTTGCTGAAGATTTGAATAAGAAATTTGTGTAAATATTGCAGTTGCAGGAAAACAGAGGTATTTTTTGCAAGTTTTGCTGAGCCTAGGATAGACTGGCTGTCAGCTCGGCTTTGACTTTGTCTTCTGATTTAATGACAGATTGTAATGCTGCTGCCTTTTTTCTTAAAAAGATACAGTGGAAGAAAAGGACTGAACATGGAAACTGTAAAGCCTAATTTAACCCAGTGTGTGAAGTTGTGGACGTATAGCAGGAGCAAATACAAGTACCAGATGTGTGTCTAATATAAATTAATATATTTAATCTATTTTTATTTTTTCCCCTTTTAAATACCGATCGTTTGACGCGCTTTGCTCCACTCTGCATTATGCTGCCTGATCTGTCTGGTTTTCAACTAGGTGCGCTAAATGACGTCATGGGGGCGGGTACTTCCATTTTCACTGCTACAGCCCCTCACCACTGCTCGTGTTCAAAACAAAAGATCGGCACGGTTTTTCACATGGCAGGCTTTTACGTTCTTCATACATGTTGAGATCGAGTTCACTGACTTGATGAGGGAACGTCTTGACAATCCACACAGACGTGACTCAGTCAAGCAGGTCTTACACCAGAAGCGCACATGACAGTTTAAACTATCACTAGTGTTAGGGTACTCGAACTTGGACTCGGACTCGAGTCCACTTTTCATTGGACTCGGACTTGTCACGGACTTGGGGAAACTTTTACTCGGACTTGGACATTTTGGACTCGGAAAATATCACGAGTCATGCTGGAAAATCACGCACGCATGACTGTTTTAACACACTGCAGCAAAGCAATAATTTGAATGGAAGAAGATGTCGGCCTCACTGAAAAGAATTGATGAAGAGAATAGGCAGTTCAAAGTAGAATGAGCAGATAAGTATGTGTTAACTTTGCCCTAAGCCAGCTCGAATCAGTAACCTTCTTGCTATGAGGCCATTGTGCTACCCACTGGTCCACCGTGCTGCATCTTATGGATGTTTATTAAAAACAAGTTATGTATTATCAATTGTTTCATACCTTTGACCTTAATAAAAAACATTCAGATAAAGGACCTTTTAATGTAGACATTGAGAACCCCTGTTTCAGGCTATCATTAACAGATAGACCCAGATCATCAGCCTAGAAATCTGCACTGGACTATTTTTTCAGTCTGATTCCCACTGGGTTTTATTTTGCACCCAATCGCCCCTGCTATTTATTTACTCTTTGTTTATTTAAAACAAAATTCTTCTGACTGTTAATTCCCTGTTAAGACAGCGGTGAAGCCGAATGGTCTCTCTTTGCTGAACCTTTTATGTTCTGTGCAGATCTGGGTCAGTCGGCATGAATATGGTTTCATTTTCCACACTGGGGCTGATAACAGAGTTCTCTGGAATTAATGTTAATAAAAATGCGCATTGTTGCCTTGGTAATGTAAGAAATGTGAAAAAGTGGCATTAGAATAATGTCAAACGTGTGAGTCTTGTAATATAATAAAAATTCTACATATATTCTCCTATTTTCATTTTAATTTGAAGCAAGCTAACAAAAAATACAAGGCATTTTGTAAAAATATACCAAAAGTTCAAATTATTCATTTAACAGTTTAATTGTTAATAGAAAAATATATTTGATTTATTATTATTATTATTATTATTATTTAACATTTTTTTACATAGGTGGTACCATGGCTCAATGCTTAGCACTGTTGCCGCACAGCAAGGTGGTCACTGGTTCGAGTCTTGACTGGGCCAGGTGTGTTTCTGTGTGGAGTTTGCATGTTCTCCGTGTGTTGGAGTGGGTTTCCTTCGGGTGCTCCGGTTTCCCTTACAGTCCAAACACATGCACTATAGGGGAATTTAATTTACTAAAATGGCCGTGGTGTGTGTGTGAATGAGAGTGAATGGGTTGTGGCTGGAAGGGCATCCGCTGCGTAAAACATATGCTGGACTAGTAGGCAGTTCGTTCCGCAGTGGCAACCCCTGATTAAAAAAAATTAATAAACGAGTTTTAAGACTGTCTGGACTCGGCCGGACTCGACTCGGATGTTAAGGACTCGGACTTAAGTCCGACTCGACCCCTTTTGGACTTGGACTTGTACTCGACTGGTTAAGAACTTGGTCTCGACTTGGACTCGACAAAGGTGGACTCGACCCCAACTCTAACTATCACACACCAAACGCGCACATTCGCATGCTATTTAACATGAAACTAATCAGATGGTGCTCTGTGGCGGGTCTGAAATATGAACTGCTTCCTGAATCATGGCTGGGCGGCGCCGGTGTGCATATAAAACCTGTTTGGAATTCTAAAATCCCTGGCATGGTGCTGTGCGGTGCGTCGCCGAGAGGCACTTCTGGTGTGCTTCCTGCTTCAAAGAGTGAACCAAAGCGCATTGGTGCCATTATAATGTATTAAATATATATGTTTTTAAAAATCGCGATTTCTCGATTTGATTCAGAATTAAATCGTCTTAAAACGTAAATTCGAATTAATCGAAAAAAAATCTGAAAAGTCGCCCAGCCCTACTAACAACTGACTTCCATAGTATTTGCTTTTCCTACTATGGAAGTCAATGGTTATGTGTCCCTTACATTTTTCAAAATATCTTCTTTTTCATAAAGGTTTGAAACCACATGAGGATTAGCAAATGGTGAGTAAATATTTAATCTTTGGGTGAACTATCCCTTTAACTTGCTGCTAAATATGACGTGTTTTATAGGTTCAGTGTAGCATTTAACATTTGGATTGTCTTCATACTGTACCTCAAAGAACCTCTTCTCTATCTCAGGATTGACACCAACAGTGCGTTGCTCGTAGCAGCAGATGATACACGTCTCTGGTCCAGCCAAGAGTTTCAGAGTCTCCACTAGTGGCTCCACAGACTGTGAAAAATTAAAGGCTTTAATGTCTATTCAATCTAGATACTGATAATTATTCTGTATTCTGCAGCTAACTATTTCTATATGGGTTACAAAACTTTTAGTTGTTTTGTGTAATGTTTATTGTTACAGTACCTGCTCGTAGTAGATACAGTCAGCCATCAGAATGTAATGAGGATGAGGTAGAAAATCATCAACATTTGCCCCCCTTTAAAATAGAATACATGTAATACGTTGTATTTATTTTGTAGTTAATTTCAATTACACTAAATAGTTTCATTGCAAGGGTAAAAACACAGAAATGTTTTTTTTTTATGTACATTTTCTTTTGTATTCTTTTGTAGAAAGTCGCGCAGACTTAAAACAGCACACAGATGAGTAAAATGTTAGACAAAAACAATTCTATATTTAGTGGGAAAACTTTTATTTTGTGCACATTAAATCTAGTTAATTATTAGGTTTCATCTCTGTACTTACAGTAAGTTGTAGTACATTATATGTAAGTTATAAGTATTGTTGGGGAAAGTTACTTTAGAAAGTAATCAGGGCTTTACATTAACACCCGTGTTAATGTAAAGATTTTCACTGTGTGCATGTGATCATACTTTCATTATTACAAACGGTATGTTTCACCTGCTTTTTTTTTGCTTAGTTATTTTTGTTAATATGGCTTTATCATATTTTTTACAACAACATTGCTTTAATGGGAGATTACTCCCCGTTAATGTGTGGTTAACTGCTGAAATGGGACTTTTAGCCAGGACTGATTACTGTGCATATTTTAGAAACATGACAATACTTTTTTTTTAATTGAATGTTTTTTAAAGACAAGTTTTGTTGAATTAAAAAGTGCACCTATACAGTTATATTTCCTTGTTTTGACACATTAAAACATTGTGGCTAAGAAATACCTATTTGGTGTGGTCAGAGATATATTTGGTAAATCCTTAATTTTGAGCCGTAAAAAGTCATGTGAAATAAAAACCAATTGCGCTGCGACAACTCATTTGCTCATGCACACTGAGCAAGCTAATACACAATACACACAAGAAGTTAAATGAGTGAGGCGGCATGTTGTGGACATAACACAACATCTAAATCAAGTTTATTTGACATTTTAGCATGTCATAGTCAAATTTATGCATATAATATATATTTCCCAACAAAAAAGTGTGGCTTGTGAAAATGGGGAGTGGCTAGTATTGTTGGAAATCTACTAGCCACAGTGGCTGGTGATCAATAAAGGTAATGTTAAGCCCTGAAAGTAATGCATTACAATATTTAGCTACTCAAAAAAGTAACTAGTTGTGTAACTCAGTTACTTTTTATGGAAAGTAATGCATTACATTACTTTTGAGTTACTTTTTATTACCTGGCTGAGGATCTCTTTCAGAACTTGTTTTTTTTCTTTCTTTTTTTAAATAGAGGAGTTCTGCAATTAATAACCTTCGCCTTCATTTACCTTTAAAAACACATCAAAATTATATATATTTTAGGATGATATTATCTAAGAACTTCCTGACTCCAGAGCTCTACATGCTGTATATGCAGATTATCAAAAGTTGAAAACAATGTGTTTGCTACTTTTGAACTTTTTGTCTAAATTTTCCCATTTCCCTTCTCTTTGATCTGCTCCAAATAATGAACACATTCTCTCATTGACTGCGCGATTCATCTTGACTACATTCATTTTAATTTAGCAACTTTTTTTGTTTTTATTTAATTCAACTAAAAAAAACGTAATTATTATTACTTATTTTTAAAAAGTAATGCGTTACTTATTACTTAGAAAGTAATATTACTATAACTCGTGTTACTTGTTATAGCCAACAAAGGTTATTCTGTAGGACTAGAGTATTTTTATTTTAGGAAACATTTCCTTTTTCTTCAAAACATTTCAAATACTATTTTCTTTATAAAGCTATATTTTACAAATAAAATAAATTTTAAAGTTAGCAACTCACAGATCCTAATGGTCCAGTCATAGCAAACCTTCAGTTAGCAATCCACTAAACTAACAAGTCTGACTCAAAATAAACCAAAAATAGGACATCCTCAGTGTTTGTGTGCACAAAAATGATGACAGGAAAAGTTTCTAAGAAATACTGAATTAAAAAAAAAAAAAAGTATTTTAAATTAAAGCGAAAATTAGGTTAGGATTGTTGGTTAACTTAATGGTTTACTAAGAAATATTACAAAAAGCACTTGTTTTGACCAGACAAAAAACAGGGCATGTAAGGGGCATATTTAGTAACAATAACAAAAATATTGAAAATGCAAAGGCTTGTTTGTATTGCTTTTCAAATATGAAAATTGAATGGCAAAATCTACTTATTGCACCTTTAACCTGATTTAATGGGAACATGACATGTAGATTGACATAAAACCACTCTCACTGCTGTATCACACAATAAAGAAACACTGGTATAACTGCATGGTCGTTTTTATAATGTTAACAAGCTTCATCCAATGTAATGTCCGTTTTTATATTATAAATATTTGTCAACAATCATTTACACATGTTATTTTTTTCAGAATTTTAGGTATGTGGCTTACATTTCGTTTTGGGCATAATCATAATCGTCATTCATTATTTCATTACGTTTTCCAGCAAAATACATAAAAATTCATCAATAAGTAAGTTTTACTTTTATTCCCAAGTAAAATTTATTTCAGAAAGTAGTATATTTGCATTTGGATATCTGTACTTTCACTTGACTTGATTTGTGTGCTTCAACCAACACTAAATAAAAATTGAGGTAAAGTTTGTTTAATATTCGCACACCTGGACTTCCTCTTTAATAATATATTTTTTAAAAAGTACTCTTTGCAAATTCTAACTATGGAAATCATATTAGCAGCCAACATTGTTCACAGTCAGTTAAATAGTGCTAATGTTGTTTTGAAGTAGTACCTTATATGATTTCAGACTGAGTATTCAAAACAGCATGGTAAACCTAAAAGGACCTTGTCACAAAATCCAAATAAATTCAAATCCAACTTTACCTCAATTAAGTAAAAGCCCTCCCAATGAAATCCTGTAGGATGAAGTTTAGTACAAACCATTTCAGTACCTTGGCTGTGACTGAGCCTGTGTGGATGAGTTGCTGGTTCTTCTTAATGTTCAGCTGAAGGAGAGGCTGCAGGTCTTCCAGATCTGTCAATGTGACATTTGCCCTATGGATACACAACAAAACCAGCACTGAAATCAGTAAGACCAGCATTGGAACCAGCAAAACCAGCATTGAAACCAGCTGTTTTATGCTGTTTTTTCAGCAGGAAACTGAACCATAACTGTGCATAATAGAGGAATTATTCAAGTCCTACAACGTTCAGAATATATACCACTTTATTTCCCATATATTTGGATTTGATATCTTGATTTAGGCTATTCATAACAGTATTCCTTAACTCACCCTAGAGATGCAGCCACGAGACCCACGAGTCCTGTTCCTGCACCCAGTTCAATAATGTTCTTTGAGGACCACATACTCACACCGGACCCAATACTGCAAAACTGTTCCGTTTCGAGGTATTTTGACAGGACAATAGCAGCATCCCACACGACACAACCCACGTCTCCTTTACTGCACTGATACATTCTCAAAACAGACCCGTCATTTTTCTCTATTTCTCTGACAAAATAATCCTCCGAGTCCTCGTCAGCCGCCATGTTTCTTCTTTCTCTTCTTTGATGTTTACCAGCAGTGGGAATCTATACTCGTGCATTACTGCCACCTGTAGTACAACTCGATTAAACTCGTCCTTTCAGTTTGCAAGTTTAAATCCATGGTTTAAATATAAGAACAAAGTTAATATGAAGCTTCTCTTGTATTTTTTGTGTAATAATTTTGCCCAAAATTCCTGAAAAATACTGTACTCATATAATGTGTAATGGGTTTTTAATGCTTAAAATAGAAACTGTATTGATTTTAATATAAAATGTAGCTAAAGGTTAGATTTATTATTTAATTTTAATTTGCTTCTTGGTGGCACATTAAAACCATAAATCTGATTGAAATATTTCCATAAACACACTAGTGAAATCTGTTAGAAATTTTATTTATTTATTTATTTATTTATTTATTTATTTATAAAATTTATTTATTTATTTATAAGTCTTCTATCTTTTTTGCTTCTCAACATTAAGTTAATTGAAGCAAGTATTTTATCAAGTCATTTACATCAAAATGGGCAGCTATTGCTTACAGTGCCCAGGGAGTTTGGTGGCTTGCTCAAGGGCACCTCAGCTGAGTATCGAACGTAAGAGAGTCCCTTGCTATATATAGCATATCTAGCACTTGCTCCTTATAGTATTCCAGGCAAGACGCCTCATTAAGCAAGAGCTTGTGAAGAAATACCCAGCCTGCTGGTTATATCATTATTATTTTTATTATTATTATTATTCATTCATTTTCTTTTCGGCTAAGTCCCTTTATTAATATGGAGTCGCCACAGTGGAATGAACCGCCAACTTATCCAGCATATGTTTTATGCAGCGGATGCTCTTCTAGCTGCGATCCATCACTGGGAAACATTCATAATAATAATAGCAATAATAATAAAAGGTGATGCTGTGACACAGCAGGTTGTGCTGTCGCCTCACAGCAAGAAGGTCGCTGGTTTGAGCCTCGGCTAGTCAGTTGGCATTTCTGTGTGGACTTTGCATGTTCTCTTCTCGTTCAAGTGGGTTTCCTCCTGGTGCTCCGGTTTCCCCCACAAGTCCAAAGACATGCGGTACAGGTGAATTGGGTAGTCTAAAATTGTTCGTATAGTGTATGTGTGTGAATGAGTGTGTATGGTTGTTTCCCAGTGATGAGTTGCAGCTGGAAGGGCACCCGCTGCAGCTAGATAGGTTGTTTGTTCATTCCACTGTGGCGACCCTAGTTTAATAAAGGGACTTTTTTTTTTTTAAACCAAAAACAAAATGAATGAATGAATACGTTTTAAAACAGTTAACAATATATTGCTTTAAAAATATTTCTTATGCCCATTAAAGATAAAATATAGAAATTGTGGTGAATTAGAAAATACTTCTTACTAGTTAAAGGACTTTAAGTGTCTTTGATGTTGCTGTAACTTTGTGATCTAGTAAACATAAACTATTTTGTGACTGTATCCCCCCAAGAGAAAATCTTACATGATCAACTTTAACAAACAGCAGTCACAATCCTGCTTTTCACATCATGATGAATGAGTCTCAAAGAAAAACTAACACTGTGGGTGCAAGTTGATACTCTTTGCTGATTCCTATACCATATTTAGAAGTATCATAATGTCACTAGATGGCAGTGCACACTCATTTATACAGGCTTTTGTATGATTAAATCAGTTTAATTTTTGAGTAAAGCGTTCTATGGAGCATATTGTGCATACAAATAATCATTAACTTTGAATGTTCTTAAAATGTTCCTTGGACTTAAATATTTGGTTTCTTGCACAACGACCCGAGGTTGTGTTGTGTGCTAGATCATCCAACCTATTTATTTAAATGCTGTATTCCACTGTGGTAGTAAATCAGCAGAGCTAAAACAGGCTGAACTTTTTGAAAAAGTTATGAAAATTAGCATACTTCACCTATAGCCTACAATCTATGGGTCAGGTCAGTTTCAGAATCACCTGTAGATGGATCCGTCTCTGCTATTTACTGAAATGGTAGATGAATGCTCATTTCATCATGATGAAAATCTACAGTAAACTAGCCTACATGAACATATTTGAATCAGGTTAGTTAGGTATAGACCAACACAATCTTACAGTTCTCAAGCAGTTCTATGTTCATGTAGGTGTTGGTCAGGTAAATTTCAGGATCACCTGCAGAAAATAGTGAGAAAATATACCAATCGATTTTGTGTCTAATAGACATCCAATGATGTCTTGAATTAAAAAAACTAGACTATAGACATCAAATCAACAGATGATACAGATTTCACTTGTGTAGTCATTAGTCCTGTCTATCTAATGTCTAGTCTACTTTTGCACTATTGTTATGTCTATTAGATTTTCTCTGAATTTAGCCTAGGCCAAGATGCCTATGTTTGGACATCTACTAGGCTTTTTTGTAACACACGCTTGGTTCTCTCGTAGCCTTGACACACAGTAGCATAGATAACTAGCTTGCCAGGGTGTGTTTGACTAGCTGGAGTGCAATCTCCGGGACTGAACCTGGTCAAGTGTGCACTTCATTTTGACTTCTCAACTCGCATGCAATACCAACACCAGCAAGAGTGTCTTTGAGTTTTTAAATCACCTGCCTGCTGAGGAGAGAAGAGAGTGGCAGGATATTTGTATATAGCACTGGGAATCGGATACTGCAGAGTAATGGCATTCACTGTTTACAAAGATCAACTGTTGTTTCATGGTCAGCAGGGTAATCGCTTGAGACCAGCAGTTCCTCGCTGAGCTGTTTGCGATGCGTCCAGTATGCCAGTGGTCTTCACACATCATCATTGCATAAGCTGGACACTTTGCAGCTTGCTGAATCTCCGTTTAGGGTTATGAAAGAGACAGGAGAGCTCAGTCAGGCATATTTCAGTTTTGGAAATAGCCACATATTGACTTTAACCCAATACCTTTATTTTTGTGGGTACTTTTTTCCCTTAATCAGCAGTTCCCAAGCCTGTACTGTTTCATAAATTCCTAATTTTTTTTTTGTTGTTGTCCAAAACATCCACATTTGTATACACTTCAAAGCCTGAAATATTGCACAGGCCTGCACTATATGCACAAGGATATTGTCCAGTCATATATATATATATATATATATATATATATATATATATATATATATATATATATATATATATATATATATATATATACACACACACACACACACATATATATATATACACATATATATACATACAGGTATTGGACAATGAAATTTAGTATTAGCCAATTTAGTATTGGAGGTTTCATAGCTAAATCTGACCAGCCTTGTGGCCAATCTTCTTTGATTGCACATTCCATCAGTAAGAGCAGCGTGTGAAGGTTTATTTCCAGATTAAAAGCAAAGTTTTGCTTAAAATATTGCAATGCACACAACATTTTTGGCCACATATCAGAGTTCAAACAAGGACAAATTGTTGCTGCACATTTTGCTGGTGCATTTGTGACCAAGACAGCAAATCTTTGTGACGTAACAAGAGCCATGGTATCCAGAGAAATGTCAGCATACTTCCAAAAAGGATGAACCCCATCCAACAGGAGAAACTGTGGATGCTAGTGGAAGCTGTCTGAAAGGGATGTCCAGGTGCTAACCCTAATTATATTTCAAGAGTTCACACTTAGATATTGCTTGACAACTGTTAGCAGGTTTGGCATGCTGTCCAGGGAGAGAACCCTGAGCTTGGAGATAGTTGAGCCCAGGGCTCCCGCCAGGTCCATAGAGCATGAGAGGGGAGTACGAGATCAGGTGGTTCTCGAGAGCTCCCCTTTTGTAATGGAGGAAAGGAGGAGAAAGTTGTGGATGGGGGGTTTCTTTGGAAAATGAAGATAAGGGAGTAAATCTATAGCTAGGCTACTTATAGTGAGTTAGGATAGATCTGATTGGCTAACTAATGAATGTGGATGAGTAGCCAGCTGCAGTCAATCATATCACGTGCTCCTCTCGAAATTAGTTTGAAAAACTTCACTTAAAACAAAAAACAAAAAGCTGCTCAACTTACATCAAAATGTCCACCTAAACTAACCTGTTTCCACCAAAACTGTTAGGCTGGCTGGGTTGCTACAGCCAAACCTTTGGTCAATCGTGCCAATGCCAAACATTGGTTTCAATGGTGCCAGCAGTGAAAATCTTGGACGTACACAGCAGCCTCTGGTGGATTCACAAAGACACAAACTGCAAAAAAACGTAGCTCCTTGGTTGTATTTGGCGCTCTCCAGAAATGTACATAGAGGAACGTAATCAGAATAAGCCTGTGTTGAAATATGCAGTGGTTACTTGCAGTTGTCAGGTTGTTATTCCGATAAATAAACTTGTAGAGTTAAGCACACATAAATTGCCTTTTGTTGAGATAATGTGGCCACTTATGGCACAAAATCAATGCCAAAAGTATTGAATTAAAAAGCTTGTTGAATAGCACAAACTGAAAAAAATAACACACCGAATTAACAAGTTATTTCATTTTAATGACTTAAATTCCAGGTTTTGTGTTTTTACGTCCTGAAGTTTAACATATCTGTTTATTTAAGCTGTGAATATTTCAACTAAAAATATTTCTAACACGTTTTCATACTTAAAAATTTAATTATTCATATTCATTATCAGATTTCACTTACAAAATATTCAATACCCGTTAAAAATACGAGGTATAATATTAAAAAGGCAATTTTCAGTTAATTTTATTTCAGTTCAAATATTCGTTTCCATAAATTCAGTGGTTCAAATTTGACTGCTAAAACTCGACATTACATCCAGGAACTGCAGGAAAAGCAATAGATTCCAGATTGAAGATCGCCAGCTGCTTTTTCAACAGCAGATGGAGATGGAATAATTTAAGATTTTTAACCCAGTAAATAGACGAGAAAAAAGCTTATGAAGGCACAAAAGCAGCATTTAATATAAATATCAATGTCTTGGACATTATAAGTAATAAAATGTCACTTGCCTTACTTATAATGTCCAAGACATTGATATTATTATTAAATGCTACTTTTGTGCCTTCATTAGCTTTTTAAAT